ACCCTTTCTTATCACGGTGTCGATATCCTGATGCTGGTCTAAATTTGCGCATTCATCGCCTGAACTTGGGACGCTACACATATTACAGCACCAATTATCAATTTCACCACTAATTTTTAGATTATTTAATTGCTCTGCAGTTATGCCTAAGCATCCAGTGTGAAACACGTTTAAACACTTAATTTTACAATCAATAAAGTCCTCATAACGAGTTATTGCTTTAGAACACTTGTAGCACTTACGCGCCATCTTGCTCAATTGAACCTCTGCGAGAAACAACCCCTCCCCAATCTAACAATACTATCAAGATTCTAGGTCTCATCTTTGACAATAAACACACGAGAGAGACGACACATCACCCAACCGAAAACTGAACGTCAAGGCAGACTTAATGTGATCAAAGCCTTATCAACTATAACAAGCGGGGCGAGTAACCCAACAAATGATAATAATGACCCATCATGCCCTGATCAGAGCAAAGTTAGACCAAAGAGTAATTATGGTTACTCTTTGGTTAGACTACGGATCAATAGTTTACCTCTCAGTCAAGGACACCTTTAAACATCAGAAGGAAGAAAGTTAGCTTTACTTATGCGGCCAAAATACTCCACACTCCAAAAAACTCTAACATCTACAACGTCTCTCTCACCGAAAATTACATAAAAAAGACTCATTCCCTAAACCTTTTTATCAAAGACTGAATACTCTCCTTGAAAATATCAACTTCTACTTGCCAAAGATCATCCCCAAAAGAAATCCAAAATACTCACCCTGGATCCTTAAATGACTTCATATAAACAATTGAAACCACCCCTGCCATTTACCAAACATTTCAATGAATCAGTCAAACATGGAAAGATCTTCACCGATAGACGTCAAACAAAATAACATTTGTTATTTGATCAATGAGGTTTCTTATTACACCAATTGATTAATAAAAAAGGTTAAAATACTCGTACTGCAGGAATGAAATTGTTAATATTGATTTAAAATGCACATATCTGGAGAGAACTTTTTGGAAGGGCATTTACGTAAAGTAAGTTTGGAGGACACTATCCCTTATACAAATGACTAGGTAATATACGATCGAGTGTTAGTATGCAAAAGAGCTTAGAATAGACAGATAGTGTAAATTCACCTACCTATACAGGATTAGCTTCACTATTTTTATACCTACATCTTTTGCTCAGTTGTAATTTCTGAGTTTCTAGTGGAAATCATAGTTGCTTGTGACTTTTTCTTATCAGACGACAGACTGCTTGCTTCAGGGTAGTGAAATCAATCATTTTATCTGGGAAACAGATACGACTAAATTTGTAGGTACATTCAATGAATTCGTTTCAGCTAAAATATTTCCAATTTAATATATACCGGTTGTACCATTGTAGATATAGGGGTGTAGAAAAAACTAGGATTCTAAAAAATAATGTTCGCAATGTCAGAACTGCGAAGGTTTGTACACTATTTAAGAAAAATCTTGAAAATGGGCGTTCCTTACAAAGGCAATGTGCTCTTAAAGGATATTTTCCAAAAATGTCAAAAACCGTTCGATGTAAGTGTCTTTATTTCTGAAATACCAAAATAAATCAAAACTGGGCCCTTATAAACAAAGAAAATATGAGTGAACTTTAGGTACAACCATCGAATAATTTAATTCAATGGTACAACAAAGAGTACCTAGCACAACACCGAAAACATTTTCCCATAATTATAATTTATAGTAATCGACTTGGACACTCGGTCTGTGTTTAAGTAGGAACAAATAAACCCCCTTTTTTTTAGCGCGTTTTTGCAAATTTATTTGTAAAAAGGTAGCTTTTAATCGAACTTTGGCCGGCTGACTGACAGGCTGGCTGGTAGCAAATGTGGGCACGAGTAACGCTTGTAAAAAAAACGAGGAGTGTACGTGTACCTACCGGGCCGGGGCCACATGATGAAGGGGTCGGCGACATCTGGGCAGCATCACCGAGCGTGGGTTGACTAACTTGGTGATTTTTCAGTTTTTTCCTATCTTCTTCTTGGTCCGATTGTTTTGAAATGGATTTCCTAGGAAAGATCTTGTAAACGTTCATGACCCCTGCGTGACGAAATTTTGTTTTTTTCCTAGGGACGAAATTAACCACCTTTTGTAAGGCGCGCTTCGACTTCGGACCCCCAATAGCTCGAATCGTGGTCTGTCTTTCTCGTGTATGATAGTCCCCGACAAGATCTTATTGATATTGTGGAACTAGTTTTATCCTTCATGGTACTCTAATGAAAGGTCTCAACGAAAGGAATTAATTTCTCCAACCATAGCCCTCCTCCTCGACCTCTTATCGTGATCGGGTATATTCCCTTATACCTTACGAACGGATTGTCGGAAGAGGGCACTCACACAGGGCGATTGAGACGTCTGCAAGGAATATATCCATTGGTGATGTCAAAACAAAAGCTATTTCGGTTTAAAAAAATGCGCTTTATCTGCACAAGAGTTGTGCATAATTTATACTTGTTTAAAAATTGCTGCAATTATCCCCGCTTCCCAGTCCTTTGGTATGATACCTTTCATGCATGACATATACGATTCTTTTTAGGTATGTTCGTTCATTTTCTCCTAATTATATTGCCATTTTGTCATGCCCTGCAGCTTTTCCACTCTTCACACGTTTAACTGCCTCTGACTTCTTCATCGGTCATCCTTGCTTTTATAGTAATGATATTTTTGATTTGTTATGTCTTGCTCTTCTACTAAAATTTTGCCTTTCCCGTTCGTAATTTGTTTTAAGATTTATCTGTTTTCCACACTATCCTGCCCGATTGACTCTACTATCCATTTTAATTTTGGTTCCAAATTGTTCCCACTCACGTCTCTCGCTAATTTTCTAACTTTTTGTATTTCTCATAATGCTCTTGTCTTCTTATTCTTAAACATATTTTTTACCGTGTTTTCTTTTCTTTTTTTTAACCATTTCCTTAATTGCATTACTCACATTTGTTTTAATTATTTTGTATTTTGTGTTTATTACGCCACATACTTTTTCGGCTGCTCCAAGTAATATTCTTAAAGCTATTCCACAATTCTTCAATTGTTCTGTTTCTCTTCTGTTCTAATATTTCATTTAACATTTTTAAAATACTTCGAAATTTCTTGTTTGTACTCAAATTTTCTGTGAAATTCCTCCATTGTGCAGGAAACTTATGGAAAGTGTTTAATATTCGGTAGCGCATAATCTAACAGCGCCATCGTGGTGCAAAAGGGAAGAAATAAGTTTTTTTACATTGTTCTCATATTGTTGACTATTGGAAAAACTTTCCTTAAAGTAAAATAGTCGCAGTGGCGAGTCGTCCGTTGGCGAGTTATCGCGGTGGTGGCGAGTCAGTCAGAGGCGAGTGGTCCAGTGGCGAGTCGCCCTTGGCGAGTTGTCGCGCACCGTTGAAAAAAGCCCTATTATGTATTATATTCTAAGGATATGAAGGCTGTTAGTAAATGCTTTCGCTTTACTTGTAGATAATTCAGTGGGTCACAAACGTCTACCACCACACAACTTGTATACGTGGGTATCTTATTGAAGAAATTGAGAAAGAAGTAAGGCTAAAAGGCTTCAACTTCAAGCACCTTAGTTAGAAACTTTTAAAGCTGGTCCATTTACTCAGAAGCGAAACCCATTATGTTTCTGTTGGTATCGTACTTCCTGTCGGTCTGTCTATCCCGTTCTAAAGATTTTCGATTTTCCTTTCACCAATCGGTAGCTCGAATCAGTTTCTTTATGATCAAAATAGAAAGTATCTTACAAATTTCGCTTCGTCGATTATTACAGTGTTTGTTAAATAATTTCCTTTTACTTAACATCGTTAGAAAAATGGCTCAAAATTTCCGTACCTCCTTAGTAAATTCTAGCAAAAGGATAATCAAAACGTACCGACATACTATAGCCCTTGGACCTATTTTCGAAAGATATAGACATTCTTTTACCAACCAACTGATCTTTCGAATTTTTTTGCGAACGATATACATAATGAATTTCTCCTGTAGAATGTTGCAAGTTAAACAGGTTCTTTCGTAAAATCGCACTTCTAAAGGATAACGCTCCGATTTGCTAACAAGACTTGAAAAAAACCCTTGACCCAAGGACTACTTGTTATCCCAGGAGGTTGTGGTCAAGAACTTAGAACAAGGTCGTTTATAGTTTCTACTTTTCCATATACCTAATTAATACATTTTCAAAAAAAATCTTATTTTTATATAATGCATCTTTAATTCACTGTTCACTTTAGAATATGCGGATTGGGCCTTGGGTCGGAATTAATAATATTAATGATCCTTTTTTTATTTCCGGAAAAATAGTTACAATCGAGGTTTAATTAGATGCACGCAATGGCACAAAAATGACGTTAGATACTCGAAAAATATAATAATAAACTTATTAACCTTACGTCCAGAATCCAAATAACCTTGCGTTAGCCACTGATTTTTTTTAACTTTTGTCATGCCTCGAGCTCGACAGCAATGGTCATTGATACGTCTGTAAAAGTATAAATACAGTATAGTTGACATCATAATTCATAGGTATATGCAATTATGTAGGTTGTTGTTTTCAAAAAGTTTATCACATCATAAAACTAAACTGGTTAGTTAAGACATTCTGGGGGCAATCACTGAGGTTGCTGTAACGTTGGCAATTTTAAAGAACATGTTTTATAGTTGTAATATTCGCAGACTGGAGGAGTTTCGAAAGTCATTAGGTACCTATGTCTAAGACAAGTATGACCTATTCTATATTTTCTAGATAGATTTTAGATAGATAGATTTTTATTTCCAAAGTGCAAAAAAACAATTACAGAAAGAAACAAAAAAAAACTAAACTATAATGTGCTATGGATAGATAGAATACGTACCTAATAGCTACCTATGACAAAAATTGGATTCAGTTTCTAAATTTTAAGGCCAAGTTCAATCTGATGTTTAAGCATATTACATATACCTAGGTACCGAACAAGGAACTAAAATGACTGCTTTTCAGATCGACTGGAATGAAAGGCACAATTAACAATCTCGAAAAGCGGAGCGGCTCGAAGCAGTATAAAAAGGAGTCTTGCTACATATTACAGGATGATCAACTAGTTCCGTTCTTTACGATATCTGAAATCATGAAGATGTCGACAAACTTAAAATTAGGATCCAATGTATCGCCTAAGTCTAAGGAATTTATAGTAAGTAGTCGCCTTTCCAACCTAAGCTCTTTTTGACTGCTGGCCCGTCAATCAGACAGAGCTGCGATGATTAAATACTCAAATGAATCTGTATGAAATTAAAGTCATTATTATGAGTAATATAGGTAATTAATTTTCGGATATATTCTCCGGTTCTTATTAATTGTTCTTCTCAATTTGAATTAAGAATTGTTAAGTCTCTGGGGTTTCGTTAGAGGGCGACAAGAGATAAAAGAAAAATCCTCCCGGATAACATTGATATTCGTTCGAAAAGACGGCAGTGTCAAGGGATTATTAAAAAATATTTCAAAAGGAGAGAGTTTAATAACAACTCAAGAAGGGACAGACAAGTAATTCCTATTGTAACGAATAACGAAAAATGTAACGGGATTTATTGATGTACAATTAAGTATTAACGAATTTATAACGGTCCTTAAATATATTGATTTATTATGTATCACTTACTTCTAACGTCTAAATCTATAAAACGAGGGCGAATTTCACCATTTATCACTTCGGCGTCGATGTTGGAATTCCAATTAAACAAACTGTAACATAGAGATCAAAAACGCTACAAATTCTTCTACAAATTCATAACTTATGATTTTAACCATAAAATTTGTAATTCCATAAAAATAAAGTATGACTTCAATTTACGCAATGATCAAATGGTTTTGGTATGGTAGGTACATACAGGGTGTCAATTTTAAAGTCGGCAGTCGGCCATATTTTCCAAACTATATAGAAGATATTGAAAATCGCGCAAAACCGTTTCGGGGGTATCGACGGGGAACGAGAATGACGTTATGAGTGACAACCCCCTCTTAACCCCTCCCTCTTAAAATCCTAAATGGCAACTCCATATTTGTGACACATTGTTGGAAAGCTACCGATAAATGCTTTCCAGCGGTATCAATAGTCAATATTCATTAAGACAATTTAACAAAAATTTAATAATTAACACAAAAAAACTAAATATTGACATTGAGGGATTTATGGCAAATTGGCCAAGAACTTCAACCTGAGCTGTTTCATTAAGCAATCTTGGTTGCTTTCGTCTTTTGCTATTTTGCTAGCATTATGGGGAGGCTTTCAGAACTTTTAAATATTAGGAAATTAAAATCATTTTTCAAACGCATTCGAAGGCACTTGATGACTTGAACAGTGAGCACGTATGTTTCTCAGCGAACCATAATGTTGTAGGTATGTTTAATTTCTGAATTAATTTGATTTTAATTTTGCAGGTCGACGATGTGCTGGACACTTTGGGATTATCGTCTTGCAAAAATACAAGATGCGGTCAATTATCGGGTGGGCAGAAAAAGAGACTTTCAATTGCATTGGAATTAGTGAATAATCCACCTGTCATGTTTTTGGACGAACCAACGACGTAAGAAGTTTTTTTTAAATTATTTAGTGTAAACAACTTATATAATAAAATAACAATTACCTTGAACTTATCAGAATAAAAACATCTAAATTTTTTACCCAATGTATAAGAAGCTGTGTAATTAAGCATAGTCATTGTCTTGATTGATTTTATCTGAATAATTAGAACATTAATTTTGGAGAGGATAAACGTGTTTCCTTATAAGAAACATTAGTGTAAAAAATGTATAAATTCCTTGTTTGTAAATGCGCACCCAAAGTTTCACTACTTTATTTAGGGTAGCGGAAACTACATATAATTAGATTCGAGTTCATTCTCGGTCGGAATAAACCCTACAAGGTAAATGTGAAATTCTGGTAGATTCATTACAACTCAACGTCTTTTTTGAAAAAGCGCAAACATATCAGATTGAGCTTCTTTCACCATCTATGTCTACTAGTTAATTCCCATTGGAAACCACTGTTCCTGTATAAAAACCAATTGGGTAAGATGTCAATAAATGATACCTAAGTATGGCAAATGAGAAGTAATAATTTTGCCAAAACGAAGGAATTTGCGAGGGCGTGGACGGTATGGGTATAATTTTCCGTGTCCGCGCGTTTAGGGTAATTAAATGGGACAGTTGCGTCTTCGAAATGTTTTTCATAGTGATGACGTCACTATTATTAATGAAGAAGGTGATGCCTAAAATGGGCCCCATGATAAAATTGCTGTGCCTCAAAGAAAAGTGGCATTGAAATCATTCGAGAGAAACAAAAGTTTTAATTATACCTAAAACCAGTATTTTTGTTCTTCAAAATTAGTCTTGGCTAATTTGCATATATGTATAGATTAGTAATTAAGTTTAATCTGCGGATTTTTGCAATTTTTTGCTGCATTTTTGCCTTAATTATAGTCTGTCCCAGAATTAGAGGGAGTCACTCGGTTAGAAAAGACTAAAATTTTTTCGTAGAAGGTAATAACAAATATTTGCCATCATAAAATATGTACCTACATAATTATTTGAAATGAGAAATTTAAAATGTGTAGCATCAAACGTATGGACACAGATATATGTATGGATATAGGTATCCATTCGACCTGTCACTATATAATTCTCAAAGCCTCCGTAGCTCAAATCGTGAGCTTGTATCCAGCATCCTAGATGGGCCCAGAATCCAAATTGTGAATCCAGCATCCAAGATGTTGGGTCCAGCAGCCAAGATGAGTCCAGCATCCTAGATGGCAGACCTGGGTGCTGCTCGCCAGCGTTCCGCTCGAAAACGCGTTCCAAGCGGAAAAAGAGCTTAAAGTGCTCGAGCGCTTTTTTCTGCCTACGAGCGGTTTTTCCACTCATGAGCGTTTCTTTCCGCTCACAAGCTCTTTTTCGCTCGAGCGCTTTTAGGAGTGATCGGAACTCGCAAGCGGGTTCGCTTTGGAAAACAACTTGATGCTCGCGGCCATTTTTGAGAAAATAAGAGTGATCGTCGCTCTAGCGGTTTCTTAGAACGCTCAACCCAGGTCTGTTAGATGGGTTCAGCATTTAAGATGGATCCAACGTCCAAGATGGCATGTACCACCGGGCCAACTTTCCTAAATTCCCCATGCATAACGCACCCCAGGCCCATTGCCGAAATATAGCACCCTCGGGCCAACTGCCGACCCTGGGCCAGATGTGAAAATACGACCGGGCACCCCGGGCCAACTACCGAAATATGATCGGGCACCTTGCACCCCAGGCCAATTGCGAAATTATGACCCTGGCCAACCGCCCCCAGGCTAAAGTACCGTTATTCTGACCTGCATGTATTGCCGAAGTACCTATATCTCTATACACTAGAAGCTGTACATTTTAAATTTCTCATTTCAAATGCCTATGTTTAGTGGTAAATATTTGTTATCCGCTTCTATGGAAAAATAGCCCTACTTTTTCAAACCCGAATGTGATTTATTACTCTCCTCTAATTCTGGGACAGACTATGATGAAGTCTTTATCTTGGACGAAATGTAGCATACCTATACCTATATGGAAATCAGACATAATTAATGCTGAAGGTTACAGTAGTTTTGTCTTAGGGCGCAATTATCTCACCTTCATTAAAAATAGTAAACGTTACGATTATGAAAAACATTTTGAAGGCGTACTGTCCCACACAATTATCATGGACTCAAGTGTCCTGAAACGCACCCAAAGGGCGTAAGATATATAATTCGGCGAATGTCCAAAGTCAATACGTGAGATTTAGCCGATGGGTAGATGAACGATTTTTGTGTATTGCGTTAAAAAGATAATTATAACAATTAAGTTACAAGAATAAACTTAAATCGGTTTTATATTACTACTCTGACTGCGGCACAGTGTCTATTAATACAGTTTTTGAGTTTCCAAATCCCTTCCCAGTAATTCTCCAATGCATTTCCCAAAAAAATCAGTTAGGTAGGTAATGACTGCTTTTCACATTTTACAGGTCATAGCTGCTTCCATACACCGGTTTTCTTATTTCTTAGGCTATCCAACAGATTTTAATAAAAGATTAGGTAGTTAAAATGATCAAGAACTGTGTAAAAACAAATTATCCATTTCTAAACTAAACTATATCACATAACGCAAGCAGAATGTAAGGTTTCTTTTCTGTTCTAGGGGTTTAGATAGTTTATCTTCGCTTCAATGCATAAGTACATTAAAGGCATTAGCTAGAGGTGGCCGTACCATCGTCTGCACAATCCATCAACCAAGCGCTGCTATTTATGAAATGTTTGATTACGTATACGTCATGGCCGAAGGACTCTGCATATACAAAGGCTCCAGCCCAAACACCCTCACGTATCTGTCGTCAGTTGGTCTCAACTGTCCCGAATATCACAACCCGGCCGACTACTGTAAGCTAATCTATCACAATTTCTGTGCAAGACACTCAGTTTATTTCCAGTAATCGAAGTCGCGAGTGGAGAACACGGTAATTTCACAGATACACTCTCCCAATACGCAAAGCAGCAGAGCTGGAGGAGCACGTGTACATCACCGAGATGTGGGTATAAGTTCGTTCGACGGCAATTAAACAGTTTGTTACAGTAAACATTCAAGAAGAATTTGCAACGGACGAAAACAGTAACAAACCAGTAGTACAAATGAGTATGACGGAGGTGACGCACAATTCGCCAACGGAATGGGCCAAGTTTGTGGTCTTAGTGAATCGGGCGTTTCTGCAGCTGTACAGAGATTGGGTACCACTAACATATCTCTTTGCCTAATATTAAACAGTTTCTTGCAGACAGTTACACGTTTAAAGTTTGTTCTTCACACCGTAATCGGAATCTTTATAGGTCTGTTTTACTTCGACATTGGGAATGATGCCTCGAAAATAATAGCCAACTTTGGGTACCTCGTAGTCACGTGCGCATATCTTTGCTACACTGCCATAATGCCGGCGGTGCTTAGGTGTAAGTGTTTCCACTGTGTTAAACCAAACGTTTGCACTTGTTCTTCCAGTTCCTTTGGAGCTGCCCGTACTAAAGAAGGAAAGATTTAACAATTGGTACCAACTGAAAACCTACTACGCTGCGTTTATGGTTGCAGATATCCCGATTCAGGTATTGAATTAGTCTTTCGCATGCGATTAACAAGGGTTTATTACAGATACTCTTCTGCACGTGTTTTACAGCCATTTCGTATTTTATGAGCTCACAGCCTTGCGAATGGGATCGGTTTACAATGTTTCTCACCGTATGCTGTTTACTGACAATAACAGCAGAGAGCGTGGGCATTTTCTTGGGTACCATAGTGAATCCTATAGTATGTAAACCTACATGTAAATTTGCCAAATTATTTACAAAACCATTTTAGAACGGGACCTTTTTGGGCGCAATATCCTTAGCATTTATGATAGCCCTCGCTGGATTTCTAGTATTTCTAACTCATATGTCAAAACCATTTTACATACTTTCTTATGTATCATATCTACGTTACGCGTTGCAAGGTCTTGTGTACTCCATATACGGACAAGGAAGGACAACGATACCATGCCCAGAGGACACACTATACTGTCATTACACGACGCCATCGGTTTTTTTAAACGAAATTGGCATGGAAAACATAAATTATTGGTTTTGTGTTGGAATGTTATTCGTTATCATAGTATTTTTGAGGCTTTTAGCATACTATACGTTAAAGAAAAGGTTGTCTAGTAATTAACCAACGTGATATGGTCTATGGCCAAATCGTTAATAGTTTCAGTTTACTAACGGTAATGGTGTGCGATATACTGTGAGTACATTGGGTAGCTATATTGCTTGCCAAAAATCGTATTTACATTTTTTAAATATCTAGGTGAATTGTACATAGCTAAACGTTAGATGATGTCCCAGCAAATTGGCAACCAAAGTCTGTGATTAACACTTTTAATTGTTTAAAGGTGTTCCACTTATAGTCAAATAAATAGTGATTAGGTAGGCCGAAGTGTGCCTGAATTTTCAATAAACGAATCTCGTACTTCACTCACTTAAATATAGATTTGCACCGTAAAAATTCAGCAACACTTTAACGTTAAGGCACAGTAGATATATGTTACGTATATCTGTGGTTAAGGTTTGCTTAAATTTGACGGCGCAGACGGCAATTTATTCGCCATTAAGAGTATTCAACTGAAAGTGATTTCAACATGACCTAATTATTTTAATTAAAGAAATACGATAACAATAGTTATTTCTCTATACCTAATAATAACATTGTATATAAGCTAGTAATAATGGTTAAAACGCGGCAAAGAGCTCCGGAATTTGAAGAAAAAGAATGAGGAAAGCCTCTACTTCACCTTTCTGCGACAGTACATGTACCTTATCGTTCCTTTAATTTTAGACTTGCAATTGATAATGTACGACGCGGTTATAATAGTTGTAGATTTAGTTATTGTCACATTGTACGAAATTCCGTATGGAGTATAAAGGTATGGTAAAAGGACACCCTCTTTTACCACTTACCTACATCGAACGTTTTGGAGTGGCCTGAGGACATTTACCCTGGCTTGGCAATGAGATATGGTGGCAGTGGTCACAGTAGGATCGTGAACCCATTAAAAGATTGGCAGCAACTTTAACTTTGGATTGAATGAAGAGAATGCAAGCCGGATATTACCTAAGTATCAATACCCGTACAGAATTGTATGGTCTAATAAACAAATCCCAAATTAAACAACGTAATTTGAATTTCTCTCTCGGAGAAAAAGTGACTATATAATTGTCGTTTCCAGTCACATTTGGCAGTTGCAATTGCTGCTTCAGCTCGGCGTACAGAAATTTGGTCAATTAAAGAGAAGCAAGGTCTTCTCATATTTTTATAGATAAACATTTGTTGCCTAATATTTTTTTGCTTATTAGGATAGCAAAGAACACCAGTACGTGTAGAGTTAAAAACGACGTGTGCCACTTGTAACACTGCCGATATGTAAGCAACATTACACCAGACGACAATATCATTGACTTACCGAGGATCCTGTATATGCTAATATTTATCAGATTCGTGTAAACACACCTTTAAAGTTATCGAATATCATTGATGCCAACATACAGTTGTTTACTGTTGCAACCGCGCAGATCAAAAGTAACTAAATTACACTTAAAATTTCGAGCACGAGCATGGCCTCGATTTTAAGATCCTCAAAGTTTGTAAGATATTTAGCGGGATTCGCTCGTCACGTTGTCATAAACGGACCACGAGAATTCGACCCGAATTTAGTGAACACCACACAATGTTTCTGCAGTATTTTACCGCGGTACGTTTTTACATCATCCTTTTACATAACCCTCTTCAATCACCGGTTTGTTTATGTGTTACGCAATAACAAAGTTAACAATTTGCAGAAGTCTTACGAGCCAAGTAACAGCGCAACATGACCAAAATTTAGATCGAAGTTTAAAGCGGCTCGACCAGGATGTGCGACGGGTCGGTCGAATATCGCGACAGGACATTGAGGACGTCCTGGAAGAAATTCGTAGCTCGCGTACTGCGACAAGCTCACAATCGTTACTCGTCATTCGATGTTGCGGCAATCTGGTTCCGGAAGAAATGCCGGAGGTCAGAACCAAATTGGTGCAGGAGATCTGGAATACGTTGCTTAAGCTCAACGTACCAATGGACATCTCCCATTATAATGCGCTGTTAAGGGTCTACCTGGAGAACAGGCACGAATTTTCACCTGCCGAGTTTCTAAGCGAGTTGGAAGCAAATAAAATCGAACCAAACCGAGTTACATATCAACGTCTGATATCTCGATATTGCCAACTTGGAGACATCGAGGGCGCCACACGAATTTTGGAGTACATGCGCGAGAAACAGTTGCCTGTCAACGAGCATGTGTTTAATGCGTTAATTATGGGTCACTCGCAAGTTGGGTAAGATATATTTTCTTTCTATTCTATGCTTTGTTGTATTGCGAGGATTTTGGTGCCTATTTTCAACTGTGCTGATATTGGGTCACCTTTAAATTGTTTATAATTGGTATCTTATTTAGACAACTGAATGAAAATGGAACCCAGCCTAAAGACCGAGCTAAAGTCCCTATAGGACAAATATGGCCCAAATGTAATCTTAACATCTTGCATCTTCTTTATTATAATTTCATTACTTACTTTAACCAAACTTCTTGAACAGCTCTGATAAAGAAGGTAAATAATGCAGTGGGCATTGGAAAAATAATGAAAAATTAAGAAAACCGATACCTACTTGTCCATTTCTGGTGCACTCTCTAAATATATGTAATAAACAAGTTGTAAATCAGCATATGCATGATTAAAGCGCATTTTTGGTAATGCAGGTCGGTATTTTATTAGCGAAGTTTAAAATTATCGATCTCACGAGTAATTTTGACTGCGTTAAATAATTAATTTTATTTAATTTCAATTGACGGTACGTCTTCATTTTGTAAAACAAATCACAAAGTAAATAATAAGTTTTTATACTAGTAGCGCTATCTAACGGTAAAATTATAGCACCTCCGAAACCCATATCGAAATTATTTTCTTCAATTATCGATCTCACAAGTAATCTAACTCAAAATAGACTAGTGCCTGCACATCTACACTATAGCGGAAAGCTTTTAGTGAAAATTTGAAGTCTCTAGCTATTGTAGTTGTGGAGATCTAACGCGGACAGCCGGCCTGCCAGCAATAACGAATATAATAGCGTATTTTTTTCAAAAATGCGCTAAAAATAGTGGTTGCTATTTAACAAAATATATGCCCCCCTTGACCATGCAGAAGTACGCCACTGATCACAAATTTAAAGTACAGGGTGTCTCATTTTCGGCACTTTTCTAGGGTATCTCTATAATTGTTAGTGCTATGAAAACAGTAATATGGGCGTCATGTCTTCTTTTTGGATCAAACTTAAAATGTTAAAAACCAAATTTGAACATATTAGCTCGCTTAAAAGATACTGGGCAATTGAAAAATACAGCCAATTCCAGAAAGACCCTTTAGTTAAAAGGGATACATTACAATAGTTTCTTTATAATGATTTTTTTAATGGAACTTTCTATATATTTTAACCTAAATTCTCGTTTCAAAAATATAGCGCACCAGTGATATTCGAAAAGGCTTATAGTGATTCAAATTCAAATAAGATTCAAAAAGATTTGAAAAAATAAAAAAAAGGTTCAAATGACTCAAATGAAATGCACAAAAATTTCAAAAAGATTGTTGAACATTTCTAAAATCTTTTTTTATTCTTTTTGAATCAATATTGAATTTTTTTAAATTTTTTAGTGTCAGATATTTTAATGCTTATGCTATTTTTTAGATTAAAATATACGGGGTGTTAACATAATTACATTAAAAAAAAGTGTTTAGGCTTGATACTTTTTTACCTGACCTGTATAGGTGCATAACAATCATTGTAAAGAAACTTTTGTAATAAACAAGACAAGACTACCAAGAATTTAAAATGTGTCCTGTATGACTATGCAACGAATGATAAATCGAATTAATAAAACACATTCATTTACATACAAGATCACCAAATATTTAAAGTGTGCCCAGTATGCTTTCGTCACCAAATATAAATCCTGTCTTAAAGCACATCTAACATTTGTCAAGACATGGATCCTGTCAGAATTTAAAATGTGACCGGTGTGATTTTATCACCAAGCCCAAATCCAATTTTAAAACACATTTGTTAATACACAAGACCTGTCAGAATTTCAAATGCCCGTAGCAACACTGTAAACGCCTTTATTTTCTAAGATTCTAAAGAAATAACACGCTGCACGCCAGAGAAATGCTGGGAATGTCAACTGAAAAAACCGCACATCGTATTTACGCGCATCTCATCCTCTTTTAGTCTTGGAACGATCTCTACCCCTATTTAATTGTATCCCCACTACAAGTTCTCACATTGGCATTAGGCGAGGCATATTTATTTTTCAGAAACAAGCAGGATTTCTTCTAATTACATGTCTCCATGTAAATTGAAACCATAATTGTTTAACTACTTCTGTCTTAAAGTATATCAGCTGGGTGCTAAATACCATCGGCGAAATTTTTAGCTTCCTAGCTTGAGGAGCTAGGTGCTTATTTCGATCATCGTTAAAATTTAATCAAATGTTGAAGATTATTCAACTTTTAAAGAATAAAAACCCTGTATGTATCCATATGTATACAGGGTGTTACATGACCGCATGTAAAAACAAATTGGGTAATAGAGGGGATCAAGGCAAGCACTTTTTCCAAATAAACCGAGGGTCCAACGTGTTTAGTTTGGGAGCCACTCCCAAAGAAGTGGTGAAATTTGGATTTGTTCTTTAATTTTTTTTCTCAGCAACCATAAGAGTTACAAAGATGGGTGGCACGTCTTTGAATAGGTTTTCGGGTATGCCCTATCCGATTTTGAAATTTTTTTTTCAAAATTCCTATTATGAAAGGGCGCACTCTTACTTGAGGGTGTGAAAAAAATTCTGATTTCGACGAAATTTGGTATCTGGGGGTTTTTGAAGATGAACATGACAAATCTGCAATTATAAAGTTATACTCATTTGAAGATTGGGCCTTCAGGTTACAAAGTGTCCCCCGCCTACTAGTGAGTGATCTAATTTCGCATGTAGTTAATTTGAAATGTCGCAAATAACATAGAAATAACGATTTAAGTCGAATTGAACACCCTGTAAACCCGTAAATTTTGTTGCATTAATTTTTCCTGGTTACATTGATGTATCACATCCTATATTTTTTTTCAATTTTAGCCATGAACCTAAAATAAAAACTTTATTTTTACGGTTTTTAAATAGTAGGCCATGGATTTATGGAGATTATGTTTTGTTTATTGTATCCATGGCAGCCGTTACCACTCAATAAAAATGGCTGACGGTAGAAACATACCTTTCAAAATTTTGAAAAATTTGATTTAATATACAGTGCTATTCATTTAGAAGTAGACATGGGGATTTCTTATGTTGGCAGCTTTATTAAAATTTGACATATTTGACCGCCCTTCCCAACTTTATGCCACCGGATCTCGCTGGCAGACATGACTTTTTCTACTTCACTATGTATAAGGATACTTTACACAAAAAAACACTTTTTTTCGTAGCCAGCTCTTAGACTATTAGGAGAAGGCTATAGTTGTATGGGGTGTCCCAATTAAATTTAACTTTTACATGGGCAGAAAGTCTCTTTTATATTTTTGCAATTGCCTGGCTCGATCTAATAACTAAACACAGCAATTTACAGAGACATGGAGTCTGCCGAGAGTATTGTATCGGTAATGATGAAAGCTGGCCTGGAGGCAACCGCCGATACGTATACCACGTTAGCTTGCGGCTACGCGAAAAAAGGGGACATTGACACCATTAATAAGTTGTTGGAGAAATGCGAACAAAGCGAGATCTATTTGGTGGACAAAGATTATTTAGATATAGTCGAGGCGTTGGCGACCAACGGCCATCTTAAACACATTCCTGTGATATTAGGTAGAGTTAGGAAAGCGTTCGGTTATAATCAGGACGCGATCAATATGATCTATCGCTTGATAAATAACGGACTTGAAGAGGCGGCGCTGATGGTTTTAGAAACGTTGCCAAGAATCACCAAGCCCGACGGTGGCTTACATAATAGCGGGTCATTTTTTATCAAGCAGCTGGTTAAGGCAAAAAGGCCGTTGGAGACAATTTTAGAGTACTGCAAAATTTTCGAGGAGAGGAAGCTGCACGATCGCCCCTTATTGTTGGCAACGGAAGTAAGTATACAACAAGGCGACGAAATTGAGGCGTATGCGCTGATGAAGCAGTTACAAAACAGCGGGTACGAGATTCGTCAACACTTCTTTTGGCCGTTAATTCTAGCCAAAGCGAATAGCGATCCCACCGGCAATAGCATAATCGACGTTCTTCTTAGCATGGGAAATTTTAATATGACTCCCAGTTCTGAGACAATTAGAGAGTATGTCATTCCGAACATTAAGGGAAGAAGTAGCGAGGTGTTGGCGAAGTTACGTCAGGCGAATATTTCCGTAGGATCCTCCGCCTGTAACTTGGTATACTCGCTGCTTCAAAAAGGTGAGATTGAGGAAGCGTCGATTATCATCAGTCGGGTACCGGCTTACTACCATCCGGAAATGATCAAGAGGCATTTGACTAACGCATTTTATAAAAGTGCGAATCTCAACGCGTATGTGACGATTTTGCAGCATATTCGCGAAAATCTTGATCGTCGAGAAATATTCGTGGATCACGAAGATAAGGCGATGGACGATAACGAACTCATTGGACAGTTTGTGTGGGACCTGACGAGTAATTGGCGGAGTTTTTTGGATGCGGGAGAGTCCGTGTTGAGCGCCCTCGCGGCGCAAGGGTTAAGTATTGACAGCGCCACGGCGGAAAAAATTCAAAATAAGTTAGGCGAGAAGTTGACGCCCGAAATTTCGAGTCTTTTGGATAAGATGACTTCGGGAGAATTGACCCCGGTGCCCGTCGTAAAGAAACCTCCCGTGTACACGCCTTCCGATAAAATGAATATTCCCCAGTTGGAGAGATTGGTTCAGAATTTGCAGGCGAAAGGTCAAGATACTATGGGACTAAGTAGGCAGCTTCTTACCTTATACTGTCGAGCCAAAGAGTTGGAGAAGGCTGAAGCGCTGTTGCCAGAGCTTGATAAGAAAGGGTTCGAGTACACGGCGGGCGCGTACGCGCAACTAATAGAATTGTACTCGTATCACGAGAATCTCGATAAAAGTTTGGAGTACTACAACAAATTGAGGGAGATGGATACGAACCTTGCTTTAGATGATCTTAAAGTAATACGAGTGGTCGCTCTACTCATCAAAAACAACCGTTTCAATGAAGCGATCGATTTAATTAACGAACAAACCCGAGATCGCAAATTAGAAGAGCAACCGTTCCAATACACCACGCACTGTTGGCGAACTCTGAATATGTTGGCCGAACAAGGCAAACCAGAAGAGCTGGAGACATTATTTAACATACTAGTCAAGAAGGAGTTCATCGAAGTCAACAATGTCATGCTGGGACCATTGGTAAAAGTACACCTGGTCCGAAACGATTTGGAAAAAGCTCTCGAGAAGTTCGAATGGTGCTGCAATCAATTCCGAGCGACTCCTTGGAAAAACGAACTTGCCTGTAAATTAATTCAAATGGAAGACGCGGACAAGTTGCAGAAACTTACCGATTTAAGCACGTCAGTTCATGGTGAAATAAACAGTTTGTATGATCTTGTTTTCACGTTCGTAGAATGTGGGCGTATCCGCCAGGCGCGAAAAATTCTGGAGACTCCGGGTCTACAAACAAGACCGCAACGTATCAATAGCGCCTGCCAACGTTTCCAACAGGAAGACATGGTAAAACCTTTGGAAGGTTTAAAGGACGCCACTAAGGATTTGAACCACATTGACCGATCTGACATTTACTACCAACTGCTCTTGAGCTACATCAAGCACGAAGATACCGACAAGGCTTTAGGCCTCTGGACGCAAATGCAAGAGGAGGACATGGCGCCTAATGACACATTTTTAATTACCCTCGGCAACTTTTTAATCAAGCACAATATTAGTGTACCGTTCGCGATGCCCGAACCTCAACCGGTGCGACCGAGGCAAATTCAAGTCCTGCAGAGACCCAAGGAGGAAAGACCCACCAACGCACAACTATTCCGCCAAACTCTGAAGGAGGGAAATCTAGAGTCCGCGCTCGCGATGTTGCGCAATTTACGCGATCCGCTCTCAGTAACAGACTCGTCGAACCTAATCGAACAGCTCATTCTTAAGGACCGCCTCCGAGAAGCCACGGAAATGACGCTCGAAGTCCTGGATAGATCTCTAACTTTAATCCCGCGCGTTTTTCGCTTTTTACTCAACAACCTGGCGCACAAGGGGGACGTCAACAACTTAGCACTGATTGGTAACAAAATTAATCACGAAACTAAAAAATTATTATCGTTCGACAACCGAATGTGTCACGCCAATCTCATGGCGGGAAAGGCGGAGGAATACCTTAATAAACTCGATCGCGAAATCACCAACGTGAAGGAGGGCGAAATCGTGATCTTGGCGGAGAAGTTTCCCAGAGGCGGCGTGCTTGGCATTATGGAGAAACATCCGGAGCTCATCGACAAATGTAATTAATCGCTTATTTTGGGCGATGCAATGTCACTCTATCGCGTTTTCGTTAGTAAACGTTTTCTTACGAAAATCACTGCCGCGCGCATTTATTACTGAGCTGCTGAAGAAATGCGCGCGACTTGACAACACTGTCTTACATTGCATCAACCATGAAACTGGATTTATATTGTGCATAAAAATACCCTGTACTCTAAACTGGTTTCGCTTTGTTTTCAGATGAGGCTATAGCACTTAAGTACGCCCAGCGCGGAATCGTAGCTCCCCTAAACGTTCTGTGGTCGTACTACTTCGTCGAGGGTCACTCCGAGAAAGCGAAGACCATCTGGGACACGTATTTGCACAACACGCCTCGGTTAATGTTTCAAAGAGTCATTCAGAAGGCGCGCGAAAGGTCAGACGAGAACATTGTTAGAACTCTAATTGACCAATTGAAGGGTAGCGTAGTGACGCCGGGCGCTCTCGGGAATGCGTACAGTTGCTTATTGGATATTCTAGTATTAAAAAATAAAAATGAGGAAGTAGTCGAGACGTTTGACAGAATCGCGAACGAAGTTCAATTAGAGTATATTAATCGTACCGCTTTAAATAGAGTTAAGAACGTATATTTACAAATGAATAAACCCTTCAATTACGAAATTCCAGTAAGGAATAGTCAGACGAATGCAACGTCGCATAGTTCCGATGATGATGTAGCGTCACCAAAGTAGTGTAATTTAAACTAAGTGTATTTGTTTGTTTTTTTCTTATAAAATTATCTTTATCTGTCTATTTGTGTATTCCATGCTACCTTTAGTGATTTTTAGATTTTGCACCTACCAACTTTTCTTCTGATTTTGCAACAAGCCATTGAATGGAAAGTGTATTATCTTTTTCAACCAAAGTTATTTTATTTAGAAAGTGGGTGATTTTTATAAGCAAACCTCAAGTGACATTTCCATGAATTCCTGAATCCCGCCGTAATGAAAAAGTCCAATTCCGACTTCAAATTCCAAATTTTATGGTAAATAACTCACGATCAAATTCCAAAAAGCAAATTTTGAGAACACCTGAAACAAACTTTGGGTACAGGTCAACAAAATTAATCATAATTAAGCATGTCATATTTATCTGGATCGTTAAAGGGTTCGAATAAACATACGGTTTACATAAATTCACACAAACTAAATTTATTTTAAAAACAAATCAAATTAATGATAAAATTCTATCAATAAAAAATGGACTACAACAAGTAGGTCCGTTTACACACCACGCATAAGCATTCGATGAACAATTAAACAAAATAATGAACTTAAACTTTTTCTGAGAAATTATCTGGAAACGGTAGACAACTTCAATCAAACACTGCTACACCCAAACTTTTACGTACGTCTTATTAAAACTTTCACTGGAGCTCAGCTGACTGATTATTAACGAGCTCCTAGCGAGTTTATAATTTTGCGGTGTCTGTCCGTCCGTCCGTTAGCACAATAACTTATAAACGAATGGACAGATTACAATGAAATTTTTCAGGTGGATTCTTTATCAAATTTGTAGATCGGAGTTCGTGAGTTGGCAATGTAGACCAAAAAAGAAAGTAGGCCCTCTTGACATCTCCGTTAGTTATGAACCGAATTGCATAAAATTCAATATGCGCATAGCTTTAGCCATATAAAACGCAATTCAATGTTCCTATAGCTATCTTTAACATTTTCTGATTTATTCCCATTTCATTAAATTGATGCCATTTTTTTCGCATTTTCATTTTAGTAGTTGGCCATGATTTTATAACAATCGAATTTTAAACAAATCAAGGAAAGGATTCTTTAATATCATTGATTCTAGTCTAAATAATTTATTAATAAATAAGTCATTTATTAAGGATATAGGACGGAAAATTTTTGAGAAATGTAGACAGAGTCGTTCAACTGAATTTCTTAAAAACAACGTATAAGTCTGAAAATTCAGAGAGGTAATGCGATATCTGTTCTAGCAACAATTCCATACAAAAAATGTTTCAACGAAGTTTTTTATATTTTACATTGAATTTATTTTGTTAATCTTGCATTTGCAATTCAATTCATTTTCTTAAATATTCTCTTGTAGAGCTTTGTATCACTTGTGCTCCAACGGATTGTAGTGCATATGGGGGGGACAACATTTCCAAAATTCATACAATTTCATTCCGGTGTTCGAATGAATGTACGGCAAACATGTGCCGCGATTCTGTCCATTTCACCATAATAAATTCCAAAATGGGTGAAACCACTGCGAGTCATTTTTCGATTTTTGAAAAACTTATGTTAACCTATAACAGTAGGTGATGGATTAGTGTCACTAGAATTGTTTAAAATTCAATTGTTATAAAATCATGGCCGACTACTAAAAAGAAAATCCGAAAAAAATAGTGTCAATTCAATAAAATGGGAATAAGTCAGAAACTGTTAAAGATAGCTATAGGAACATGTATTGTCAAAATATGCCCATTTCTCATGCAATATTAAGAAAATGGTAATTCCATTTAAAAAACTGAGTTTTTAGTCTTGAAGTTTCATAAATTTGGATCTCCATAGGAGCGGTTTTACGCAACTTGACTATTTTTTAAGTACACTAAAAGAAAGCTGTATTCATTCTATCGGGCGATCAAAAATGAGTGACTTTCGAGTCGCCTTTGGAAGTTCGAGTTAAGTACGATTTCCCATGTAAACAAAAATTCCAAAGGTGACTCGACGGTCACTCATTTTTTATCGCTATGTATATGCACTGATAAAAATAGGTTGCCATGACTACAACCGTTTTCAAGTAATCAATTATCAAGGTACCATCTGCATCTGCCATTTTTTTTCTTAAAGTCAAAATAACTTAAAATCCATAAATGGCAGATATCGACATATGGGTATCAAAAGAACTGAAATTTCACGTAGAATCCAAAAACCCAATAAAAAATTGGGGTTGCTATTTAAAATAATGAAACCGGAAGTGCGACCATTTTGAAAATATTTTACATCGATTCGGCCTTCACAGTAACTCCTAAGTACAAATTTTCAAAAACCTACCTATTTTACTTTCTCAGAAACGTTTAACTAAAGCTCCCAAAAAACACCCTGTATTAAGTAGCAAGGGCTTTTCTTAAGGGAACAAAAACTAGTTTAATCCAGTGCTGCTTATACTATTTTTTCCAATACCGACCGATTTAAATCCATTTTTCCATGAATTGTTTACAAGAAAACAAAAATGAGGGGATTTTTAATACCTAGGGATTAAAATTACCTGTTAATGCACAAAAATTAGGGATTAAATTCAATAAAACAATGTAGGTATTGGAAAAATTAGATTTGATACGTAGCCACTTGGAATAAAACCAAATTTAAATTTGTTACATAACCATATGGGTATGTCACCACAGCACTTATCAAAAACGTACACGTTATCGTCAGACATACTTTTGTTCACGTTCGCTATGAAGTGGTGCATGTGTAAATTTCTCCATGTTGATAAAAATCAAAATACAAATTTGAAAACGTAGTTTTTTAATTCTAAAGTGGCCACCCTTTTCACGTGCGGGGGCCGGTCGAGCGATTCTTTTCGTTTTCCCATATTTTTGTATGCAAATTAAAACAAAATTCAGGTTCCGGAATATTCTTTATTTAATATTGAAAAATGTTAATATCTAGCAATATTTCTGCATCTCGTAGACGTTTTTGTCAAAGCAGAGCAATGTGTTTCTGAGCTCCACTTGTTCCGACTTATGAAATTTGAACCCTTGTTCTTCTTTTAAATCAGAAAATCAGATGTCATCATTTTAATCCATACTTTGTCTATTTTAATGCTACACGTTGGGAGTGAGCATTTTAGCAGAAAAAAACCAGCCTTAATTTAAACAGCAACAGAAATGTTGTTAGTTTCCCAGAGACCTTTCACCAGAGTATCATATGACTGATAGTGATAGAAAAATGTTTACTCTGAGCACAAGCGATGTCGGAGGGTGGAAGGGAACTCCCCGAAGTCTTTCATATGAAGGAAAGAATTTTGAATTCCCACACCCCATTCGTAGTAGGGATCTGTTACAAAGAATTTCTTCAATGAAAATATAAGTGTTTATTGTACATAGCCTACATTAAATCTAATAAATACAGAGTTGTTCAAAATTTGCAATAGTAGATATAATATAAAATTGAAGTATATATACAAATATACAGTTTGTATTAAGCTAAGAAAACAACGAAGAATATAAAGAAGAAAATTAAAACTCCGAATACTTTGATCATCAACCACCGATTGGAAGAAACTGACTGAAAATATTTTAAAATCTGCGTGTGTGCACCCTCTATGTTCATTTCCGCGTCTTGTATATTCGTGTCGATACGCTCGACCATTTCCTCCTGTTCTTTGACCATATGGGCCAACTGCTGAAAAATTCCACCCAATTCTACGATCGTGGACTCGATGTTCTGCATCGTTTCAGCACGGTTGCGTAGATAATTGTCTGTCTCATCGTACATCAGCATGACCTGCGATTGACTGTGTTGGGCGATTAGTGGGGCGTTTTCCAAGTTGATACTGACTTCGTCCTGTTCGTGTAATAATACGCTACCTTTAAATCGAAAATTAGAATTTGAGTTGCAACATATGGGAGCATACCTTGGTGATGGCCGGCAACTGCTGATGGTGGTAGACTGGTATTGACTACAGCATTTGAAAATTGGTCCCGCCTATTTTTCTGCTGCTTCAAGTTCTCTGTGCGCACCTCGAGGATCTGTTTGAAGTCCGTTGACATCGTGGCCAATTTCGATTGCAACGCAAGCACGATGTTGCCAGAATGCGACTGTAAGTGCTTCCCATTGTGTCTTTGTTTTCGAGAGACGTCCTGTAGTTGAGCGATTTGTTGGTTCAAACTATTAAGGTCCCCTTTTATTATGTAAGTTAACTCTTGAATTTCGGCAGACCGGTCGTCAAATAACGACTTCCTTTTGGCCACTAAAAAAAATTACAAAGGTAAAGGTGACGATACAATCTTGGATAGTTACATAGTGTCAATTTTTCTAATTTTGCAAAAGTACTCGCAATATTTTTCCCCACATTCCTCGCAATAAACATAAACTCGGAATGGCTCTGTATCACTTTAGCTTTACGGGTGTCACCGGCAGCAATCGCGCGGCTGATATTTCTCCCTTGTAGCGATTGGATCGTGTTCGCAAATTCGGTGGTTCTGTCTCTCGCAGTCATGGTAGGTTCGGGCTCGATAAAGTTATCCACAAAATCGTCTTCGTCGTCTAAGTAGTAACTCTCAGGCACATTGTTAGGAAAGTTGTTGTTGTTGTTTCCCTGATAAGGCCTATTATTACTTTCTACAACAATAAAGGGCTCTGTCTCTGAGCCAGTACGGCGCCTTCGGGCAGGCATTGCATTCTTAAAAAGTGTAAGTTAAACAAATTATTTATCACACATCGTACGCAAATCAATCAGTCTCTTATAAAATATTGTTTATAAAATGTCTGGAACACGTAATACTTCAAAGGACTTTCATTAAATTTGGTTACGTTACAAAAGAAAAGGTTAAGTCCTTCCAATGTCGCCAACATGAATTGACACTGACAGAATTTCTAGGGTAGGAGGGACTTCGAAATATGTCAACACTGCATTGGTATGAATGGGTTTATATACAGTGCATTTCAGTTAAAACGAGGCAATCAGTTTTCTGGGGGGCACATTTCTACGTCAATATCAGCCACTCCCCACCCACAGCAACCCTCATGTCAAAAATTTCAAATGGAAATAATCGTCTTCGATTCGGATTTATTTCCACCAGCACTCGTGCTTTTTGTGAAAATATTACTTAGCAACTTTTTTTTCGGAAAAATTAGATGCCGTTATGACATTGCGTGTCAATACATTTGTTTATCTGTAAGTGGTTTGTTTTGTGATTAATCGAGCTCAAATTATGAACCCAGATGATTTAAACCTCCAAAAAAGGACTGTAAGCGACCATGTTATTGGTGGAAAACTGAGCTAAAATTTGCTTCACTATATGACCATCTTTTATCCTTTCTCTATCTTTCTTTCTCTTAAGGGTAAACTTGCCCCTACGGTCAATCAACACACATTTACATTTGAAACAGTACGATACCCTCTGTATACATCAAACGTGCTACTTTTTCGATTTCAACCGTTCTGCGCAGATGCCGCACACCGGCGAGCGAAGTGGGGTGGGAGAAAGGTAGCGTCAGTTAACGCCTTAACGGTATTCGGCGGGAGCGTAATGACGGGGTTACCGTTTATTTTGTTTGTTGTGTTTTAAAAGTGTATTTACAGGTAGTAATCATTTTATACTTTCTTGTACTAATTATTAACCATTGAACTGCATGCCACAATTTGTTATTATTTACATTTTGCGTAAAATAACGATTCGCGTACTTCCAGCTTCTGTTTATGTACCGTTATCTGAATCATGCTTGTTTGTTATACCTACTGTACCGGTGGTTATGTCATTGTTTTTATTTATTAAGTATTTATTTATGTATTCATGCGGAAGTTTATTATCGGTGTGCATGATTCGATTTAGCTATTCCGTGAGGGAAGTACCTACAGATTCTTCGCTGTATCTGTTTCCTGCTCGTCTCGTGCGGATCGCAGTCCTTGGTATCTTAGCAATACGAGAATTAAAGGGTCCTCTAATTAACAATTTCCTCTATTTAAAATACAGTTTGCTAATTTGCCTGGGCGCTAATGAACTTTACCATGAAAACTTACTATTGGCATTCTCTCATGTACTTTTCGTGTTCAATTAATTGATGGTGACCCTGGAGTAGAGCTACGCCATTTTGATGTTTTCACATACATGCAATTTATTATTTATCGTTTTACGAAGTGTATTATCTCATTTAATCGATCATGCATTTTAATGTGTTTTTGTACTAAAATTGTTTTATCATGTTTTCCACTTGCATTTATGACTCCTTGCGTGTTTTGTTTGTTGTTCCTTGTTGGATGCGTAATACATTTATCTGTTTTTGTCTATTCTTATGCACCAAAGTCTGCATTTTATTTAATTCTCCTGGCGATTATATCTCACGCCCTAACACGTAAAAGAACCTATTATTATACAACGTAGGGGTTAATCCGGATTTTAAAATTGTCGCGAAACGTCTGTCGTTTCAATTTTAAAGTTAGGTGACTCTGCTCGTAGTTTTTCTCCAGAGTTTCCAACTGTAAGTATAGGGTATTTCAACCTCGGTGTCTGCTGAGGAACCCCTTAAGAACATTACAGCATGAAAAAATTGGTCGGCCTCACTGTTCCTCTTTATAAATCAGGCTATGAATTAATATAATTTTTAATTTCTAATGGAAATAGTAAACTATTATAGGTCAAATTGTATAACATCTTTGTGTTTAATCAATTACTTTATTAAACTGCATAAGCGGTTTCCCTACGAAAGAACTTATGGTTCGGAGAGACGCACTTTACCCAAAAATGTTGAATTAGGTGCTTATTTGGCCACGAGTCAATTCAAATCTGTTCTTAAGTTGAAATGTTTTTTACATCGACGGTACATAGTTCCAGTATCAGGGCGGAGCTTAAATTGCGACGCTGCTAAATCGCTGCAAACCTGTTGTTTTTCGTCCCCATAATTTTACGGTTGGTTAACCTGACGAAAACTTCACAAACGTCAAATTTGTCATCACAACATGAACCACGTAGGCTGCACAACAAACAAATTTATTATTAGTTAATTGTAAAAACAGTGTGTAAATTGTAGTTTAATTAAAATTCAACATGTCCAGCATAAGACAGAAGCAAATTAGTAAGTAATCAAGGAGCCAGCCTTTCAATCTCACTCGATTACTTCCTTTTCAGTTGCCTTAAAGCAAATGTTAAATCTAAACCAAACCACGACGAAATCCTCGCTGGCCGAACCCGTCTGGAAAGTCTTAATCTACGATAGAGCGGGACAAGACATTATTTCCCCTCTGATATCCGTCAAAGAGCTACGAGAGTTGGGTATTACGCTTCACGTGTACGTATTCTCTTGTCACGCACTAGTTTTTCTGCAAGTACATTTTTAGACAGTTGCACAGCGATCGCGATCCCATTCCGGAAGTGCCCGCCATATACTTTTGCGCCCCTACGGAAGAGAACCTAGGCAGGATCACGCAAGACTTTCAACGAGCCGTTTATGACATTTATCATCTTAACTTCATTTGTCCGATTTCTAGGCAAAAATTGGAATATCTGGCGGCGGCTGCTATTCAGTCAAATTGTGTTGCGAGCATACACAAGGTAATAAGTGCGCAATTAATTTACTAGCTAGATCGTTATTATAAATGGTGCTTTCATGACTGCTTTAATTGAACATCCTTGATTAATTACTTTAGAAATTCAAATTCCATGATTGGGGTTCATATTGAATTGTTCTAGGCAAAAACAAAAACGATTTGAGTTCTTTCATTTGAGGAAGAATTTGTGAGTAAAAAAAAATTAAAATATAGCAAACCCTTGAAACCTCCATATTAATTTGGAAACACCCTGTACTATTGAGGAAGGAAGTCCTTTGTTTCTCAATTTTGCGATTGTCTGGTGCTTTTGAAATTGTTACTGAGTGTACTGTATGTTGTTCCAGGTTTACGACCAGCACATTAATTTTATTTCCTTAGAAGATGATATGTTCATCCTCAAACATCAAAATAGTGATTCCTTATCATATTATGGTAACTGTTCAACACCCTCTTTAAAAACCACTGACATTACGCATTTGTAGCAATCAATAAGGCAGATTTGAAAGACTCAGAAATTGACGAGGTCATGGATGCGATCGTCGATAGTTTATTTTCCGTTTTTGTAACTGCAGGTACTTAGAACTTTCACATGATCCGCCAGGTATTAGTTACGTTTTCTAGGGACCGTGCCAATAATTAGAAGTCCGAAAGGAAATGCGGCCGAAATGGTCGCCAAAAAGCTCGACAAGAAGCTTAGGGAGAACTTATTCGACGCCAGGAATAATTTATTTCACACCGACACGCATACTGGAAGTTTTAACTTTCAAAGACCCTTGCTGATAATTTTAGACCGAAATGTTGACATGGCGACACCTTTACATCATACCTGGACCTATCAAGCTCTCACCCACGATTTACTTAATCTCACCCTAAACAGGGTAATCGTCGAGGAAAATTCTTCTAGCGGAGGTTCGCAGTTTGTTTTTGTCGGAATATTAAAATATTCTAATCTCTTTAGGTGCCAAGACCAAAAGTCGACCGTGTGAGTTGAACTCGAACGACAAATTTTGGGTGACCCACAAAGGCTCACCTTTTCCAATGGTCGCCGAGGCTATCCAGGAGGAGTTGGAAGAGTACAAATCATCTGAGGACGAGGTGAAGAGGTTAAAAAGCTCTATGGGTATTGATAATGAAAACGACGCCGCTCTGTCGATGGTATCCGATAATACTGCACGTCTAACGTCGGCTGTAAATTCATTGCCACAACTGATAGAAAAAAAACGACTTATAGACATGCATACCACGATAGCTACTGGTAAGTTCTACGAGGGCTGATGGATAAAAATAGCAGACACGTAATAAATCTACAGGCTACTTAAATATACAGTATGTACCATGTGTCCTATTTTGGTTGAGACTGCAGAGTATCTTTAGGGTGAAAACGAAAAGTTTTACTTTTTGGGAAGTTATCGTATTTTTTTAACCATCTAAGATACAAAAGAATGCCTAACTTTTTCTGAGATTTGACCCAATGTTGGTATTTTTTAAATACAACACCCTGTATATCTTAACGTCAATTTTTTTGCATTATTTTTTCTGATTACACTGCTGTCTCACAATTATTTTAAATTTTATCCATAAACCTAAAATCTAACTTAATTTTTATGGTTTTTAAATAGTAGACCATGGATTCGTGGTTATTTTGTTTGGTTTATTTTATCCATGGTAACTAAGGTATGGTGGTGATTTCGGAAACGATAGATAGAAGATACGCTTTAGAGAAAAGTAACACAATTAAAGGGTTACTATCATCCTGTAAAGAACACAGGAAAATTCCGATTAAGTAGTTCTGAAGATATGCAGGACAAACTGCAATTTACTAATTTCCTGGAAAATGGAAAATTTGTCATTTTGAAACTGACAGGTTCCAACTTTTGTTTTTTTTGTGTGCTCAACATCGTTGTATTAGTAATTAGTACTCAATACAGCTTTTTGTGGGCCCTATTTATTTATTTGTTTATTATCCCTTTCTTGCACCCGAACATCTTGCACACCAATAGAAAAATCTGACATGAAAAAAATATCCAAGTCGCACAATGGATTCGAATATACACAATTGATTGATAATGAAAAAAATTTATTCTGAAACGCAATGAAACAAAATTAAGAACGAAATGCTTACAAAGCTTGTTTGGTCATATTACTCCGCACGCAAGTTGTGAACAAATAAAATAAACTTCACCAATATGTACGAGTGACAAGGTCACTTCTGGTGAAACGTGAAAAGTTACGAAAAGATGAAGAGAGAGGGAAAATACAGAAAGGTACATTTGGTGACCTCTAGCGGAAGAATAAGAAAAACTAAGAAGTGAAACTTTACCAACAAAACTAAGTACAACGAACTCGAACGAGAAATATACAGGGACATACATGGACATGGATAGTAAATGGAATATAAATTTAAAACTGAAAAAACGTTACAAATACTGTGCTTGAGGGAAAATACACTTTTTATGAACCTATAGAAATCGATGGATGTCGCCCATTTCAAATTTCTAGGAGAAACTAATAATAAAATAATACCTAAAAGTGTTAATAGACCAGCAATAAAAGTAAACAATCAGTGGTATTAACAACTTTATTTATTGCTCTTTTCATTACTTTTGCATATTCATAGTTACTAATTTGTCATTTCTCTTTCAGGAATCTTAAATTTTATAAAACAGCGAAAATTCGATACATTTTTTGAACTGGAAGAAAAAATTATGAGCAAAGCAAATGTAGAAAAGAATCTAGCGGATATTTTGACAGATCCCGAAATAGGTACCCCCGAAGACAAAATGAGGTTATTTATTATCTATTACATTTGCACACCTAGCATTTCTGATAGTGAGTGTACGAAATACGAAAACATCCTTCAAGCGGCAGGATGCGACCTTTTGCCATTAGTGTACATCAAAAGGTGGAAGTAAGTACCCTTAAACGAATCGATACTCTTGTCTAACCTGATCGTTCAGGAGCTATACGAAAATGATGGGCGGTACAAATCAATACGAGGGCGCCGGAACAAAAACTGTGAATATGTTTTCCAAATTAGTCACTCAGGGTTCATCGTTTGTCATGGAAGGTGTTAAGAATTTAGTTGTAAAAAGACATGTAAGATCCGTCCAAATTACGACACATTCTCACTTTTTACTTACAGAATCTGCCCGTTACTCGAATTGTAGATCATTTAATCGATTTTAAAAATAGCCCGGAATTGGAAGAATACCATTACTTAGACCCCAAACAGTTGAAATTAACCGAAGTTCCACGAAATAGGGCACCATTCCAAGATGCATTTGTTTTCATTGTCGGCGGAGGCAGTTACACGGAATATCAAAACTTGGTGGATTACGCAAAAGTAAGTTCCAGCGCGCCAAACTGTCTCAATTGAAGAGCTGTTTTTAGCAAAAGAATGCATCAGGCAGTACCAAACGGATAGTATACGGAGCAACTACACTAAATACACCTAAGCAATTTTTAAAACAGTTACTGTTGCTTGGCCAGGAAGCATAGACCAGTTTTTAAGAGGCTTTAATTGTATTTTGCATTCAATGGCATTTACTAATAAAAAAAAAACAATTTAAAAGCCCCAAAGGGTTTTTACCTATTACTTGTAGGGAATATAATCAGAGTATAGTTGGGGTAAGTATGTTACTTCTTTTCCACGCCTCAAGTGCCTAAGTTGTTATGATTTTGTATTAATTTATTAAAATAAAGATTTTAAATGGAAAATGTACATGTCATGTCATTCCAATAACAATTTAGTTTCAGTTTAACAATTAGGATGGTGTTGCGAGTCACTAACTCGGGGGAGTGAGTATAAACTTTTAAAGGGGTATAAATGGTACTTTGATTTTTAACTCGTTAACGGGGTATCCTTGCATTGTAGAAATGTACTCACTACTAGCTTGTTTGTGTGCTAACAAGGGGTGGATGTGAAGAAACGGATTTTTGGTATTGAGCAGCGAGTATAATTAAGGATTGACATTTAAATGAGTCACAGAAACCCGTCCGATTGAGCTGTGCCTTACTCAAAAGAAGCACGCAAAAAAACCTGATGTTTGACATCGGTCCCATATTTTCCCTATGTCGGGGAAAGGAGTAATTAATTAAAAACAGTTTAATTTTGTTCTTTTCATCTTTATTTCACAACTCACGTACACCTGTTTTTTCCGCACGTCCGTTTCCTTTCACCTTTTATGTCGAGAATCGTCGTTCATTTTAGCATTTGCTTTCCCCTTTTTTCTTTATACCTCCCTCGTAAAGAATTCCTTTCTTTTTGCGTCTTCTTCATATTATTTAGGCACCTTATCTTCATTTTCTTTTTTTCTTAATGGTACTGTAGCTTACAATCCGAAGCCGCACACCAAAACAACCCTCATTTTCCGTTTATAATACAAACTTTCATGGACCCTCTGTTTGAATGTCTTACTGTATAGGCATTTCATGTAACATTTTTGCTGTTTCTGGAAATTTGGCCTTATCGGAAATACGGATCTGCAGATAAGTCTCTGGTGGTAATGATGAAATTTGCGATAAATAAAAATGATGAAGTGCTGCTGGAGTGACTCAAATATTTTTATTTCTTAGTTGTTTAACCCGATAGGTCCATAGACGTGTGACTTAATGACTTATATTCTCATATGACTAAGTCAGATGGGTAGATCCTACTGGTAATCCGGTAGATTATCTCTATGGGCGAAATATGTTTAATGTTTACATGCCTGAACGTATTTAAGTTTATACAATTCCAAAAAATAAATCCGGAACTGTTAAAAGAAACCACCCTGTATATTATTTTCTTTCGGGGCAAGTTCATAATTTCTTGAAGAATTGCGTAAATCTCATTGGCAACAGCGCAAATAAATGTCATTAGATCATATGGTTACAGTGGCGTATCATGCAAAATTTTAATAATTACTTCAACAATTTTGCGTTTTTGTTGTCATTACAAAGTAAATATTTACGTGCAAGTTTAAAAATGACTAATTTTACCTAAATCATTAGTCTAAAGTCTCATTTATAATGTCAAATTAAGTGTCGCTCTTAAAATGGAAGCAGTTTTGGAAAAACAAAAGAGCAAACAGGTTAAATTCAAAATCATTTTTGCAGGTTTGTAATTTGAATAAATTTAGAAAAAGAAGAAGCCGAAGGAAAAAGTTAAGGAGAAGCCCAAGGATGAGGAAGACACAGGTGGCACGGCGGAGGTCTCACAACCTCTGGTTGGCGATGAAATTCGTATTCCCAACATTGATACCGTCGAACTTCCCATTGAAACACACGAAGAAAAGCAACTTGAACATTATTCGTGTAAGAGTGAAACTGTTACTGTAACTGAAGCTCCTATTATCGAGAAAGAAACCAGTCGTCCGCTGATTAAAGCAGAACTAAAAGCAGAAATTTCGAGCACTTTCAATAAGTACTTGTTGGAAAACAAAGAAATAATGAAATCAATTAAGCTATCAGAATTAGATGCCACTGCAAAAGCTGAGGTATGCCATCTTGTTAATTCTCTATTCTCATTGAGTTTTTCAGAAATTCAAAGTCGCCCCTCTTGAGACTATTAAACCGTACACAGAGTCTCAGTTAGCTTCACTGTACACCAACATTGAATTGGAAACAGTAGAACAATTTGCCAGTCAGTTTGTTGAAGCCGAATTAAAGGGCATTGCGATTAAACGGCATCCTCTGTACGAATTATTAGACAATTATCTTCAAGCACGACACAAAATGACTGGAAATCTACTGGAGTCTGTACAGCTGCGTAAGGAATACAAGGAGACACAGGGTCAGATTTGGTCCGTACAAACGGCGCTTGCTGATGCACGAGGCGAGTGCCACGACGGTACCGCTGTTTCCGCAAGTCACCCGTACAATAAAGCGACATTTCACAGATCTATTTTTCAAACAATCGAAAGGGTTTTAAGTTCCCTTCAGAAGATTGTGACCGAAAATCACGTGCTATACTCGTACTTGGCCGAAGTGTTCAAACTAAAGGTAGTCTCCACATGTTAAATTAGGACAGTTTACAAATTTCAAGCTTTACAGGTGGAGCTGTTTATCGAAATCCTATCAGCGAATTGTTTTAAGTGCTTTGAACTAGATTACGCGAGCCGGATGTGTTTAAAATTGGACGGTATTTCGCCCAATGTTGCCTTGCTCTCTGAACTTAGACTGTGCATCTCAGTTCTGTTTTCATTTCAAAGACGTCTCATTAGGGACGTTCAGTTCATTAAGGAAACTCGCGAGTGGCTCAATCGTTTGGTCGCAATTTTTTTGAGGGTGGCAAACTGGCAGGATCATTTATTTATCTTGAATCATATTCTGAGGTAAGCCTACTTATGATAAGTAAGTACTGCAAGTGTAAGTATGATAAGTTAGTTCATTTGGGATTACTGCTACTGCTTTGCTTTGAAGACTATCCTAAAATTTCAAAAATATGGATGCAGTAAAGCCCATTTTTCAATGCAGCACTGAAGAGTGTAGTCAAGATTATGGACTTTTTGTTTTGTTTACGGTAAATAATGTTTTGACTAAGAAATTCCTTCCCCTTCCCCCCACCCCCCAAGAACTGTCATATACTCGTAACAGTACTCAACTTTCCTACTCATATTCAACCTAAACCAATCAGGGGGTAGATTTTAAATTTACTATTTCTTGATTGGCTAACGCATCAACAGAAACAATGGATAGTAATTATGAGCCAATTGCTTGTTTGTAGAACTACTTTTCGTCTTTCAGGTGCCCCGCAGGTGTCTGTTCTTGGGCTGCACATTTCGTTCAATTGCCATTGCCGGATAAATTGCAAGAATCTCCGTTCGCGTCTGCAGAAATAAATCATGTTATTGCTGTGTTGTCTGCAATTTTAATGCCAATACAGAAACGCGAACAGTTCTTGGAGCAGGTAAAGTATTTTGTTTTCAGATGAAGCATATACATATCGTATATCATTTGTATAGAAGGATTAAGCTGATCCATTTAATTCCCTTGAACTGTTTGTAAATTAGGTTGGCAGGTTGTAGTAGTAACTGGGGATGTTTATTATGTTTATGCTTTATTTACATTATTCATTGACATGCATTTGTTTCCTTGTTCCTTAGAAATATGAATGTACCACAGCCTCTACTAAATTGTTCAATTCTGGAAACCCCCACAAAGTTGGAGATTTCTCGATATATCTGTTTCTTAAGAATGGTTTATCGCGTTTCAGTTAAATTTAACTTCACCATTTTTAATAAAGAAGGAATTGATACACAAAAAACCTCATATGGGCCAAATAGTAGTCGCCCTGGAAAAACTAGAATGTAAATGAAAATACCAAAAAATTGGTGTGGTAGACACACAGAACGTCCATGTTATGCATTGCTCAAAAACTTGCCGATGTGTAGATGTGCTATATATAAAAATAATTTGCATGAGTACCTGTGTCAAAACCAAGGTCAAAACAATGTTCGCTATGGCATATTGACTATATAAACCTAAACCTACAGCTCACTGTACAAACGCGTGGTGAACATGTGCAGCGCCATCACCGAGATGGACAAAATATGAACTACATTGACGGTGCTAAATAGGAAATCTTTACTTTGCAATACCTTTCTTAATTTGAGAGACTGTTGTTTTATCAGATTTCCGACAATTCCAAAGAATTTATTACACAAATTTTGATTCACACCTGAAATAAATCTTGGGCATTCATAAAAAAATGACATGAAAACTCTATCTGGGTCTCACAAAGGATTCGAATAAACACACAATTAATCATTGACAATGACAAAACTGTCAGAGACATCTAGTATTAATTCATGATAATTTTTATTATATATTAATTAATCTTTTAACAATTATAAGATGGCAGTGATTAAAAAAATTCGTTTGACATGACAGAAACGTTTATTTTTTTATCCAACACCTCTATGTTATCCAGTCATTATCATGACGAAATTAAACGAGTAAGGTATAATATAACCCACTAATGAGTTATGGACGTAAAATAACTCACTAGCAAGATAAAGTACAGGAACCATAAGTAAATCCATATAAATTTTCTAACTAAATTTTTTGTTGTTTATTATTCCCCATAGCAACGAATTATTGCTTTTGTATTCCATGCACTCTTGCTTTTCGCGGAACACGCAGTTTTTAAGATTTCCACGTTTTAAACCAGCTTGAGGAGGTGTTGGATAAAGTTTTGTATGGTGCACGTGTGTTAATTACAAATAAGTCACTTGAGAAAATAACCCCACTCGGCCTAACGGCCTCGTGGGCTTACTTTTTTCTCGCGTGACTTATTTGTAATATAACACACTTATACCATAAATAACTATTAAATGTTTCCTTTGCCTATTATATGCCAATTATATCTGTCATATGAGATCAAACGGCCTGTCAAATATATTGATGGAATTATATTATGTAATAAAAAAGATGCTACTTGATTCGTATGAAGGACTTTAATGTTGGTCAAACAATAATCATTACATTTGTATATTGGAAATGCATTATTTGGAAGGATGAAAAATAAAATTTTGTATGCATTTCAGACATTACTCAATATTTAACCCTCGGGCGACTTACAATCCCACGGGTTCTGTCCTGTATTAGTTTGAATAGGAGTATTTTACTAGCTTTGGGCTCCTCTTTAGGTCACTCTGTCGCTGTCATCCACGGAGAACGCCTTGCCAACGTTCCCCAGTGGCTTCCCAGCATTAGGCAAAAGGTAATAAGAGTTTGCTGGTGATGGTGGTTAGGCAACAAACCTCCCATATGAAAGGATGCCAGTATGAGGAAAAAATCCGAAACGCTCTGTGTATGCCACGATTGTGATGGCTTCATCTTTGGCCATTCTGCACAGGTGCCGAAAAACAGGGATTTTCGTAACGAAGCTTGGCAAGAGCGTCGGATCGGTAACGAGATTTCGAATCCGAATCGAGCTAGAGTAATGGCGGGTCTAGCGTTTATTTTGTTTTTAGAAGTATATTTACATTAACTTTAGTATTTAACGTTTCTTCCCTCTTTCCCAAAACCAAATTTCTTATCCAATTATCGGAAGATGGCAACTCGACAAGCCAATCAAAGCTTCGCTGCAGGACGCTCTATTCAGTCGAGTAGGCAGATTTTTCTAGGAATTGTCTGATCTAAAATACACAACTTTCTACGAAAACAAACAATTTTTTTCCGATTAAAATGGATCTCTATATACTTAATTACATCAACTTTTTATAAAAATGAACAAAATGCACAATAAATCAAATCTGTACTGTCGCATAAATGATTTAACAAAACAAATTGATAATGAAAATGAGAGATGCAATTTCCCTGTCCTTAACAGTTCTAGGAAATAGTCTTTTTTACAATGAACCAAATAGCTTGGATCGAGCTAGATGCGCAAAAATCGTTTTGTGTTTATTCGTAAAGAAACACATTAGATTAATTAAATGAATTGAAACGAAAATTTGATTAACGATTTATGACCCGTCATTAACTTCAGGCTTCTGAACCAAACCTCAACGTCCACAATGACATCGTCAACACAGCGATATGTTTCTTATTTATCTCATGCGAACTGCAGCTCATGTGTCTTAGCATATACTAGAAGGGGGTCCTCTAACATTTCTTCTATTTATTAGATCTTTTTGGGCGATAATAGACTTTAACACGACCACTTACTACTCACATGTACTTTTCTACCATGGGAATCAAATCTCGGGCCCAACCAGGTCAGTTGATCGAATCCGCTCTACCAATGTACCTGTTTTCAAACATTTCATGTTAATAATTACAGGCTTGTATTGCAGAATGGGGTGGAGCCCCATCCTGCTGAAACTACATGTCAACATTTGTCTTCGCCCTATAATTATACAAACTAGTACACATGTAGAAGGGATAGGATATATTGACTTACTAGCATTAACCATGGCAGAGGCAGAGGTCGGTCAGTCGCCAGCATTTTAGGGAGCGGGTGTAGGTACCACATGTACATTTGCCTTCTTTGGACAAGGAACAATGAAGGGTACTAATCCAACAACATTCAAATCGCATTCACTGTGATTCAATAAATATTTAAGTATTTTCGTAAGCACTTACTCCATTCCAGGATATGAAAAAAATTTCTTGTTTTTAATAATAAAAATTAATTTAACTACCTAGGGTTTTTATTTTCGACACAAGTCGAAAGGAAAATAGTTGGGAACATTGTTCGTAGAATTTTTTAATTCTAATCAGAGTTCTGGTGGATTTTTTTAATGTTCTAGAAGTTTCTTTAGTGACATTTCAAGTGAAAGGAAACAATAAAGCACAGAGGTTTTAAGTGTTGGAAATTTTTGTTACAATTTTTGTGTGTGTTTTTTGGGGAATTTTGTGGACAGCAACTTTAGGCGTTTTTTTAATTTTAAATGGTACAAACGAAAGTAATTAAATAAAACTACTTACAGTTGTCACAATCTATGGATAATTCAGATGATGTATTGTGGGTAATAGTTGATTCGGAGGGCGAAGAAGACGAAGATTCTTCGGGGACAGCGCTACGAGAAAATGACCTTGTCCAGTTACTAAACCAATTACCTCTAAATAATTTATTTAAAGATTTATTACTGGTTAGGTCCCATGATGGTCAGGTAAAGTAAGTGCGTTTGAATGCCGTAAACTTGGAGCTATTTTTTCAGGACGTGTACGATAACTCCAACATTAACGAAAATCATGTTCTTCGGTTTTTGTCTTTGTGTACGGTGTTACTAAGAATACTACAAAACGGGTTGGAAACCTACGATCAACCGCGCTATCAACAACTTTCAAAACGTCTATGTCGGTTTGTTAGGCACATTGTGCAGTACGCGACAGACCAATGGGAGCAGTTCAAGAAAGTGCAAAGGATGGACGATAGGGCCATGCTGCAACGTTTGCAAGTCGAGTATGACGCGTTCTTTCTGCGAGCAACGCAGTATCTGTATTCCTCTCAAAAGATGGGAGCTTGGCAATTTTTAGCCGTGGTTCCCTACCACATTGTGTCCATGCAAACTTTGTGGAAAATATTTTATTTACTTCATGATGACAATACTGAAATACTCAAATCTTCACATTCAACGCAATTTAAACAAAAAATCTGGTCTGAGGCTTTGAGAGATCAATTTGAGGAGAAATTATCGCAAACTGATGACGCGGAGTCGTATTATTTAATTAACACTTTCGCTAATATGGTTTTGGCACGTGAGGAGGTAGATATGGAGTTTATTCGGATTGCCACATTAGATTTATTGCAGGTAGGTTTAATCGTTATGGGAGGGGGTACCCAAAAGTTTCCAGAAAAGTCTTTGTAGCGTGTTTTTATGCTTTTGTACAAAATTCCTTCAATCTCCTGTCTATTAGCGGCAATACAATTGTCAAATCTCTTCTGCCATTGTTCGAAACATTTTTAAACTCATCTACTTTGATGTCTGCAAGCGCCTCCCTCCACGTCAGCGAAACGTTTTTCCTTGAGTTTCTTACCCATTTGTGGGAATAAAAAAGTCGTTTGGAGTCATATCGGGCGAATAGGATGGGTGGGGTAAGACAGCCATGCTGCTTCTTGCAATGAAAGTGGCCACCGAGATGGCGCTGTGAGTTGGGGCATTGTCGTGGTGGTGGAAAGACCAATCACCAGACTGTCTTTTTCGCCTCGGACTTTTGCTGAACCCATTGAGAACCTCCGAAGTAGAAAACATGGTTGACAGTCTGATATGGTAGAACGAATTCCGAGTGCACAGTCCCTTTTGCATAAAAAAAACAAGTGAACACACGACGAATCTTTTTGACGCGGGGCGAGGTGACTTGATTGTTGTTTGGTGTCCGAGCTGTAACCATAGCACCAAGACTCATTCCTAATAAAAATTCTAAATCGGTTTCGGCGTGACATGCCCACATCCTTTGATCAAATTTATTATCCCTAACGTGTTCTGGGTCCTCAATAGAGTGACCTGCATCGCTTTTTAGAGATGTCCCTGAGAAGGCGTGGTCGAATAAACCACTAGCGGTAGAATCGCGTACTACGAAAACTGCGCGCGCAGCAGCGTCATTCTGGAAACTTTTGGCTACCTGTAATATTTCTATTATTTGAATTTATTGCATACCATTAATCTCTGTGGATGTAAATGCTTGAATCTCCATCTCTGGTTTGGCAGACGTGCTAATCTTAAATGGTGACGTGACCGACCTCCTTTGAAGCTTTATGAAAGCTTACATGCGAAAGAGAGACGGTCAAACGTTGCTCCCCATCATTCTCACTCAAACCTTTGGCGGTGACAACGCCCAGGCGCCGCTTAATAATGAGAAATTAACTTGCATTGTTTCATTTTTTTACAATTTGTATAATTAATTCCAGATTGGTTTCATTAGCGAGAGCACTCAGGAATCTTGCTCAAAAAATGCGCGAATATTACTTACACACATAACATCCAAATATCCCGAACTCTTGTCCGACATTCTCGGTGGGATTAGGAAAAAGTTCGCCAACATCGGTAGCCTAAGTCTGTACTTGTACGAAGAGTTGCCCCTATCGGTATGGATACCATCGGCGGGAGACATCGAAATTATCATCATTTGGTTAACGCAAAATGTAATTGCATCCGATGAAAGTCGTCTGGCGCGAATGATACTGTCGAGGTTGAATTGGGGAATGGACGATGGTGCGCTTTTTTTGCCGTACAGTCTGCATTTCAAGGTGGCGCTATTGTTGGCGGAAATCGTCGAGCAAGAGGCGGGGTACTTGCAGTGGGCGTGGCAAACCGCGTTTAGGCTTCGGTTACATTTTAACGACAAGGGGTTTAGCGATTTAAGTCGAGTTGTCGAGCCGGACAACTTGAGTGTAATCAGTAAAGGTAATTCGCGTGTAGTGCTATTGAAAATTGATTGAAGAATTGCAGGTGTTCGCGACCAGAAGCCGTTCCCTTGCTTTTTGGCTTTGATGATGACGTCGTGGGGACATCTGGTGCCGTTGATTGGTATTAAGGGGCTGTCTCTTTTGGAAACATTGCAAACGCACCAGAAACATGATGCAGTATTATTTGCGTTGCACTTAATTGTTCCATTATTTCTGACCTGTCAAGAATCATTGATAAATTGTGATAAATATCAAACTATTTTAGTCTCACTATTAAGTTCGGACCGAACATATATAAACATGGCAAAGGGTCTACTGGCAACGCAGTGTGGAATAGTGGATCGCTTCGGTTACATGATTGAGAGCCAGATCCAAAACTACAAGTGGTACGGTTTGGACAGTCCCCGATATCTGATAAGGCTGTGGATAAATTCACTGGTTTCCATTCCAAACTGGAACAAAGATCCGAGTGTTCTTAAAGTTCTCGATATTATCTTAAAAGCGGCGTTTTTTCGTGTGGACGCAATGGACGCGGCTGTGAATATTTTGCGGGAGTTACTACAGGTAATATTAAGGCTGAAACTAACCCCACCGCGCTACCTCCACAATTCTGCAGACCGCCACTCCTCAAGAAAGTAACACTTCCATTACTTCACTCTTTAAATGGGCTTCGCAATCTACGTTACCTCAAGGGAGTTTGTTAGCCGCGGCCTCTCTGCCTTCATGCGTCTGGTTGGCTTACATTCTGATTGCCTTAGAACACGAAGAGAGGGAGAAAGTGACGGGATTATGGAGGGAGGTGTTGACACAACTCCAGAACCAAAAGGGCAAAGTAAATGTGGATGCCGCAATCAAGGTAATACCCATTGCAGGATCTCTAAATATCTAAATTAATCTAGAAAGCGGCAAGTAGCGTCAAAGTGCCTTCGTTTACCTCCTCCTCACTGTGCATCTACAGATGGGCACAACAAGCGCTCGACACATCTCTCGATCATCCCCTCTTACCTCTCGTATGGCAAAAGTTCTTCATGCTGTTCTTACTGCGCGTTCCCGTCACTAGGTAAAAGGGTACAGTAGTCTCAGAAATGTATCATTCGCTTTTCAGTGTCGTTGAAAGAGGGTGTTTGGGGGAGAAGTTCTTTGACGGAATGATTAATTTAGGTTTTTTAAAAAGACTGAAGAGACGACTGCAGGAAACTGTCGATTATTACCAGAAAAAAGTGGATGGCTGTGATAATGATGGTATGGTTCAGAAGAAAGCGTTCTATGAGAGTTGTCTAAGGTAAGCCACTCCCACTTTCATGCCCCCCATCTCAAAAGCAATAACTTTAGATTATTTCGAGCTTATAGTCTGTGGTTGGAGGAACCCAGACTGCAAGAAACCAATTTACACTTACCAAGTCTTCCCCCCCAATACGAAGCTCGCCTTTTAGCTTTAATTATACAGGAGAACTCGGTAAGTATCGTCGATATTTTCTCACAAAGACGGAATTGTTCGATTGTCAAGGCGCCTTGGCTCGAGTACCTCGACTACGACGTTATAAAGACCGAACAAGAGAACTCGATGAAATCGTGGAGGATGTCGATTTACAGAGAGAAGTCAAACGTCAATCAGCCGCTGTTCAACGCCGGCGCGGGGGTGGAAAGTAGCGATCCGGTGGAACGAATAGTGAGACGTTTAAAATCGTATGATGTTCCGAAGGAGGCCCCTAACTTAGTCAAATCCGCTCCAGTGATACCTACATTGGACATAAACGAGCACGCCTCTATCGTAAATATTGTCGAGCCACACTTTAAAACCCTACTACAATTTGCACAGTAAGCCTCTACTATTTAAACCTTCGATCATAATCCTTTTGTAGTAATCACACATTGCGAGTCTCGGAACACAAAGCCCTAGACTCGACGTACAAAGAGTTAGTACCACAATTGTATCGCGCGGTGCTGTTTAAAGTTAAAAAACATGTCGCCTGTAAGGGAACCGGGAATTCCGTATGTACAGGTGCCGCAACGATCATTTTAGAAATGCAGGTAATTTCCATCGACCGAAATCACACTGTACAAGCGCATTTGTAGGACGCGAGAATAAATGAACGGATTGATCGACAAATTCAGTGCAACCGAAGCGACTATGAGTTGGTCCTGAGCAAATCTCTGCAGGCGCCCGCGCAGGCGCTATGTTCCGCGTCGGTCACCATTACGCACGCCATCAGGTGGTGAAAGCGCGCACTAAACCGAGTTAATAATTTTTTTGTAGTATCCTGGACACGAAAGCGACGGCCAATTCGAATATGTGCGAAATGGGAGTTGAATTCTTCTACCACATTTTAACTTTGGTTAATGACGAAGTGAATTATTTCCCGCCCACAAAGAACGCATTTATGACGTTCATAGAGAAATTGGGACATGTAAGTTTTTTCTTTCTGGTTCGGTTACTCGCTATGATAAAGAAGTATCTGGAATAGGCAGGTGGAGTCTCTAACTTGGAATAAATTCTATAAATCAAAGTTTTGCTCGATTAGTATTTTAAACTGCGCTCATTTTGATGTAATGAAAGGTTATATAGGGTGTCACAAATTTAAGATGTGACGGCATCGACTATTTTTAGCGCATTTTTTATCTTTCATGGCATTCTATTTAAAAGTGTCGACGAAAGGACTACCGCCCTTCTTATCAAAATGTCGGCTGGAGGGGGGTGGGGGAAGAAATGATTGTATCCTTCATTCTTTTTCTTTTTGTATGTGTATGTGCATTTATGTTCCATATTCTCATTTGTATCGCATTGTAGTCCCTCAAGACTATCGATGACTTCTCAGCTTGTGTTTACTTTATCAGCTTGCCTGTTGCAACTGTACGACACGCCATTGCGCCATATACATGTTGGTTTCTTCCCATCGTTTATGACCACCATCCCCATCTGGTGTACTCACTCCGCCAGCTTGTTTTTCATATCGTCCTGGGCAAGACTTTCATTTTATTAATTTGAGAAAACTCAGCAGCCTCGCAATTTCAAAGAACTGAATTTAAAATGATTATTTTAACACCTGGCATACCCCTGCGTACCAACAAATAATTTGGCATGAGAACTCTTATCTAGGTCGTAATTTGGGCTCGATTAAACACAAATCAGATGAAACAAATTAATTCGACATAAATCAATCAATTTTAAAGCTGAAAAAAATATTAAGCGTTCAGGGCCAGCAGACAAATACCACGCACAAGCGCTCGATTGAACAAATTAATTAAAAATTAAATAAAAAATTAATAACCTTAAAGCAATATTCTTTAAAATCCGGTCTTAACTGTGATTCTCTTTAAACAGATGCACATACACAGCCACCAGCTCATATTACATCGGAAACTTCACTTCTCTCTCGATTTAGACGACATTAGGTTCGTTGTAATTACAGATGTAAGATTGGCTCTTTGATGGTGAAATGACTTCCTTTAACGGGTACTCTGGGATACTTTTCATAAACAAACACTTCCATTAAAATTCACTTTAGACGACGGAATAAAATCTCTTTAAGCACTATCTTTTTTCTACAACAACCAAGGCTTTACAATTAGCAAGACCAAAAGCCACAAAAAGCAACTATTAACGTCCACCACCAAAAAAGCCACGATTCACGCCCTACTCTGTTATTGAAAACTTTCCCTCTTTCAGTTCAGTTTCTCCTTTATCAAAATTCATGCGTTGTCAAACGAACTTAAACACCCGTGTTTTCTTATCGGCAACGCATCTTCAAACTTAATTAGCTTTATGTAGCGATAAACAAACTCTTATCGTAATGACCAGAGATAAACTTTAAAATAAATTAAATTATTTATAGATGAACCTTATCTTATTACACGTAATTCAACACCACAATAAACTAAACAAGCGATTATTTAAGCAAAATCAACATTAAATAAATCTGGTACAAAACAGATTGACCGCAAATTCCAATAATATGATCGAAATTAATAATAATAACAATAAATTTTATTGCTCAACAGCAAAGCCAATTATAGAGCAACATCACTTTTTATCTTACCTAGTAGGTATGTGCTAATAAACACTATTGATTATGATGATTTTCCACTGATATAAACTTGAACGCACTGAGTAGATCCGGATAACTGATGGTTCTGTTTAGATAAACGCCAGACTGTCGATAGTGTAGATACCTTATAAATCTTCTCTGAACTCTTTCCAACATATTTGTTGAGTTTTTGTACTAAGGCTTCCAAACTACACTACCGTATGATAGTTTACTTATCACATATGCATTAAAAAGTGTGGGTTTTAGTTTGTAGTAGTTTGAAATAACACCATAGATATTTTTTATATGTCCCTAAGACAGTTTGCAAGATTGTGTTACAATATTCAAGAACTGTAAAAAATTGTTCACAGCATTTTTTTTCTTTTTTATTTCTTCTTTTGCTTTCCTTTATTATTTTTTAACACTCTTAACATATATTTTGTTTTATATTCTTTATGAACCTACATGAACATTATTATTGGGGTAACCTGTTATGTTCATAAATAAATAAATATTTTGCCATTTCTTATTATAAAGCCCACAAAACTTCATCAAACTATATTCCAAGATCGCGCACTGTAGAAACCCGCTTTATTGTATCACCGTTAATTGAGTAATTAAACACTATTCTGTCTTCAACGCGTGGGAAAGTTGCATTTTTTAAGGTTTAATTGCAGTTTATTAGTGAGACACCATTGGTAAACGTTACCCATGTCGTTTTGGAGAGAATCCATATTATGTATAGTGTTGTATAGTTTTAAGTCATCGGCATAAAGTAAGCATAGACCCTGAAGCATTTTAGGTCATTAATGAACAATAGGAACAGTGTTGGCCCTAGGTTGGACCCCTGGGGTACCCCACTACTTGCTACATAAGATTGCATACAATGGAAATTGGTCGATAGTTTGTTATATCGTTTTTGTCACCAGATTTATACACTGGGACCACTTTAACGCTCTTCCACACCGTAGGAAACTCGCCAGTTGACAAGATTAGATTGTATAGGTACGATAACGGTCCTTCCAGCACATTTCTACAATTCTTAATTATAAAAGCGGGAATTTAATCCAATCCTCGTGTTTTTTTAACTTTAAACTTTCCCGGGTGACGAGAAACTGTTTCTTTGGTAACTAATAAGTTTCCTAAAGTGTTGTGCAATGATTTTATTGACAGTGAGCCATTGTTTTGGTACACGCTCTCAAAGTAAGTTGCAAAAGCATTCAGCTGCATTGTGCAATTCTTCCCAATTATATTTCATCAGATCTGGAATTCTTGAAACTGATTTTAGTGTGTTAACATAAGACCAAAAACTTTTTGAATCTTTAGTCATGTTTGCTTCTGATTTTATGATGAATTCTTTATGTACTGCAGTTGTCATCACTTTTAGTTGAGAGCGTGATATATAACTCCTTAAGGCAATTACTTCTATGTTTTAGGTAAAGGCGTCTGTATTTTTCTTTCAACTTAATCCTTTGAATTGTTGTACCAAGCGGGATATTTTGTATTAAAGCAGATTCGAGTTTTTGGAATGGATTTATTAAACATAGCATAGATTATCCCATAGAAATAATAGTCACATGCGTCATCTACCTTCTTGAATTTGGATAACATGGACCATCTGTATATGGTTTCATTTCATTGTATTTATTCTAAATTAACAACCACATTGAACATCGAAAATAAAATTAAATTAAACCCATACAGGGTGACCTAACATTACTGTAGGTGCTGAAACCAAACAAAACAGTTTACAAAACAATATGAACTTTTAGTGACCTCGCTTTCGTTATCTTTTTTGGGAAAGATACCCGTAGCGGCCGTAGCCACAGCACACTGTGGTGCAGGAACAGAATAGTGGGATGGTTACGTTCTACATAATCTAGTAGGCACTAAGCTAGGCCGCCACGTGCGATTTTTATTCGCGGCGACTAAAATATCCCTGTTACAGAAAATCTAGATGGTGTCTCCACTTGCGACAGATAAATAGCTGAGTTGCATCAGTTTTCCAATGGATATCGAAACCACTTGGGACTAAATAACAGCAAGTTGATGCATGTCTAGGCTTCTCTGTATGATTCATTGTGGTAGCCGACAATCGTGTCTCAGTAAAAATAGAACTGGTTTCTTTTGCATTGTTACTTTTCAGTTTCTATCAGAAAGAAAGTTTGTTATAGAAATTGAAAGAAAAATAACAAAAAAGAAGGTTTTTGTGCGAGATGCATTTTTTCCACAATTTAATTGTCTTTAACTACAATAGTTTTCGTGTTCATTCTAACATCAAGCTGTCAAATTGATAGGTACACTGACCAATTGCTCACTCAACAGCTCAACAGCGTTTTCTTTTGGCAAACGAGTAAGGTAGGTTTGAAGGGATTTGTATCAATATTGCGTCCCGCTCAGGGCGTTTTTTTAAAAAGGCTTTTCTGTGTGGGATGAAACTGAACTATTTTAGATACTTTTGATCCATAAGAGAGATTTTATTTATTTTTATTTTGAATTTGCATTGCAGAGGTACATCACTGGAGTTGAATACGAAACGCCACGCCTACTAAACAAAATTTTGGAAGAGCCAAACTTGGTGCCCCTACTTGCTCCTCATTTTTCACCTATCAATATCGGAACAACTAACTTTCTGCACATGTACTCCACAATTTGCGCAGACGCCGGTCAACGTTTCGACATCATCTTTCCTTTGCTTTCGAAAGTAAGACACCCGCTTCTGACTTCTCGATGGTTTCACTTTTCGTTACAGTTCGACATACAACACTGGCTGACATCGAAACAACCGAAACTCGCGCAGAGATCCCAATTTATCGAACTCGTCCTGAAAGGTCTGACCTCACTTAACTTTACGCCCACTACCGAATCGATGATGCTCCATGAGATGTTTCGCAAACACTTGCTCTGCATTTTTGAGTACCAGTTTCCGGAGCACTACGGCGATGTTCTCACGGCTCTTCTACAGGCGAGCCACAGTGGTGCGGACACGGGCTGTATAGCGATCAGCGTTTGGATGGACATATTCAATTCGTTATCGCTACCGGTTAAATTAAAAACAAACGGAGTTGTCCGAGATCAGCTGCGGCAGTACGCCCATCAGCAACAAATGCTGCAATACCAAGAGATTTTAGAAACGGCGAGATTGCTGTCCACGCACTTCTTCAAGGAGCGTCTGCAGTACGGTCTGTACGGTTTATATCCGAAGTATCGAAATTACATGGAGGTCCTAATTCTGTTGATGGGCATGACCGGACACGCTTTCGTAATTAGCGCGTTAAATACTCATCATGGACTTTTGGGAGATAAACTGTGCGAAATAATCTGGCCTTGCTTAAGGGAGATGTACGCTCCGTGGATTTTACCTTATTGGATGAATAACATTAAGGATGAAATGGTTGCGTGGATGCAACAGTTGACTGACGATAGAACCGTTTTATTGCCGTGGATTCCTGCCGATGGACCGTTCGCGCAAAAAGCGATCTGCAGTATGTTCGAATGTATAATGTTCGTCATCCACACTCTACCAGGTTTGTCACTGTGGTCGCAAATTAGAATAATAATAACAAAGCTCTTGTTTTAGCGTGTAATGTTATACTAAGCTATGTGTGGCACTGGTACGTAACGAATTTTGCCCATCAAGCTGTTAAGGATTACATTCTCAATGCTGTTCACGCATCCTTCCTCGCTTTACCGTGGCATAATTTCTGGCCTTCAGTAGGAGATTTAGAGTTAATGCTTAAGGTAAGTTCGTTTTGTGTCATCCGAGAGTGTAATTTTCTATACAGGTGGTCGAGCAGTACCTGCCGGAATGTCACGTATTCCTTGGTTACATTTTCATCGAGGTGCCGTGGAGTAATTGGATACAGCAAGTTTTGGCAAACGCCGCGCCCGCGATTATTTTAAGGGTCCATCAGTGTCTTCTCTACCTTCTAGTCAAATTATCGAACGAGCCAAATATTAGGAGTAATTACAGCGATAAAGCAAAGGCGCTTTTGGTACAAGCGGAAAACTTTAACTGGGAGGTAGTCGAACCAGGAATGTACCAACAAATTGTCGATTGGTACGTGATGAGCTGTGATCCTCTAGTTTTATTTACAACCGATCCACTTGATTTAGACTTTCGAGTACTCAAGTAAGATTATGCCATACACGTACGAGTTGCACATTGGTGTGGTTTCAGCTTCTTGAAAATCTCGGCGCACTATCACGAGTCGTACGAGCATGCGTCCGATAACGTATTTTTAAAGCAGCACATCTTTATTCGTAGCTTCGTGAAATTAATATCGGTACTCTGTAGCAAACATAAAGCGATAGCGGTGGCCAAAACTGAACAATTGAATTCTGTGATAAGCGCGAGCCTTTTGCACTTGGAGACTGTGATTAGGAGGGAGGAGGCACTCGTAATAGTTTTAGAGGATATGGTCGGAATTTTAAATATAGATTTAATTAGTAACGGCGCTACGCAATGTTTCGAGAGATGGTTGTCTACGAAAACCTCCGAGAGTATTATACTTAAAGCGATGTTGCATGTTTTGCCATCTAGTGTTAATAACAGCGAAGTGGTGGCGAGTTTAGTGGAGTCGGCGGTATTCAGATGTTTTTTTAATATTGGTAAATTCAAATTAATTTTTCGCTTTTATCTGGAACCGACAAGGTAACTAGTTTTTGACTTATACCACAGCGCTCTAGGTGGAAGCTACAATTTGTGTTAGTTTTTTGATGTGTGAGACAAAACGTAGCTATAAAATCTAAATCGTTCAGTCTCGCCATCTGAAAATCTCAAGTTTGGAAAATAGTTTTTTTTTACTAGAAAATACTGCAAAACCTAAAATAGTTAATTTCGGTGCACCTCTACTTCCACATTTCCTGGAAGTTCAAACTTATAGAGTTTCAAAATTGGCCAACGGTATACTTATTCCACTAGAAGCTTGAACATTCACCACCCTCCCCAAACATTATTTGATACGTCCATCCTGACACAAACTAATTGATGGTCTATTTGGTGTCCACTTTGTCTTACTAGCCATTGTGGAGAGATACTTCTTCACTCATATACCCAAAAAATGCGTATCAGTAGGTAAGTAAGGTCGGTTCTGGCTCCCTTTGACCTTGAGATCTGCGCATGCGCCAAGTACGTACGATCACAAGGGGTGGCATGGCAGCATTCAGTCTGACTGGTCGTCTTTCGCGCTCGAGGGTCGTGTAAAAAAACATCGCGACTGCTTAACCGCGATCATCGCCAATTAATTGGGTAACTCAGCTGCAAGATGGCGCTGAGCGCTCCTGGACCTCCGAACATTCCGAATGGCGATTGTGGTTGAAGACGACATCCTGAAGGGCTAAGATGGAGCTCATAGCTATTTGGGACAGGACGCTTTCACACGGGGCGGCGCTGTGGCCCGTCTGCGAGACTTGTAGCAGGCGCTTTAGAAACGCGCGCGACTACTAGCGCCACCCCTTCACACGGTGCGATTCAGGAGCGCGACCACGCATGGCATTTCTACATTAACAGTCTTTGTCCGAAAAAATTAGTTACTTTAACCAAATTCGTTGTCAGCAATTTAACCATAAAATCCGTCCACAAGAAAGTTAGCACTGCGCATGCACAACCTACTCTTTGACATGTCATTTCAAATTGGTTTTATCAGAATCATCTTAGCGTATAGAATTTAAAAGCACAGAAATCTGATACAACTGAATACCGAAATAGCTTTTGTTTTGACATCACCAATGGATATATTTCTTGAAGATGTCTGAATCGCCCTTTGTGAGTACCCTCTTCCGACAATCCGTTCTTGAGGTATAAGGGAATATACTCGATCACGATAAGAGGTCAAGGACGAGGGGTATGGTTGGTACAAATTAATTCCTTGTTACCCCCCCCCCCCTCCCCCATTTTGTAAAGTTTAACTTGGCACCACTGAAGGCATGCGTATGCAAAATCTGAGATCAATTGGTTGTCGCATGTAAAAGTTATGCACGTTTTACATTCAAAAACAGCATCTCAGGAAATAATTCGTGCCCCCCCCCCCCTTTAGACGGCGAAATTTGATGGCCGTCTGGCACACCTTCAAGGTATAGGCTACCTACTGCAAAAAATTCCAGGCCTCTTTTACGGATGGACAAAACACAAACAATAGCACATTTTTTTTATTCTTAAAAAATGCGTTAAAAATTGGGAATGTGCAAATGGCAAAGTTGCATAGTAGCTTGACGTTTAAGGAATATGTACTAACACAGAAATCCCGAACATTCATATGTTCTTTGTAACAAGAACTCCATTTTTTGGACTTTTGGTCACTTTTTGGGTTATAACTTTTTGGCCCGTTAGTGTACGTAGCTGAATTAGCAACAGTAACCTTTCTTATATCCTTGAGAACATGCGTACCAATTTTCAAAGCGATCGAACGTTTCTGCCCGAAGTTATTGTGCACACGGGCAGACAGACAGAGATGAGCAGGCAAACAGATGGACAGACAGACAATGCGGGGATCGTTAATAAACGCAGAAGTGTGAAATTATGGTACTTACATGAAAAAATTGTTTTTTTACTATAACTTTAGCGCATTTTTTAAGAATTAAAAAAAATTGGGGGGGGGGGTCAAGATATGTTCTACCTTTCATGGTATTCTAATGAAAGGTCTCATCGAAATAAATTGGTTTGTAAAAACTATAACTTTCCCGTGCGACTCTTTTTCAAGATCAGTGAGCGACGGGGCCTAAGGGGGGGGTTAAAATTAATTTTATCTCTCATTGTATTCTAATTCAAGGTCTCAACGAAAGGAACCGTTTTCTATCAACTACTGCCCTTCTATCTGTTCTCTTATCAAACTACGGAGTGGAGGAGGGAGGGGGCAGGGGAGTGGAACTAGTTTTATCCTTCATGGTACTCTAATGAAAGGTCTCAACGAAAGGAATTAATTTCTACCAACCATAGCCCTCCTCCTCGACCTTTTATCATTATCGAGTATATTTCCTTATACCTCAAGAACGGATTGTCGGAAGAGGGTACTCACAAAGGGCGATTGTGACGTCTGCAAGAAATATATCCATTGATGATGTCAAAACGAAAGCTAGTTCGGTTAAAAAAATGCGCTTTATCTGCACAAAAGTTGTACACAATTTATACTTCTTTAGTAAGAAACGCAGAAAAATTTACTTCCTTGGTGCAAGCCTCCATAACGAACCAAATAGCGAAAACAGTAGACTAGACTCCTCGGTCATCCGATATGCCCGTAAGAGGACGGCGGTTAACAGAGTGCTCCACTTCCGCCATTACAGTCTTCAATACTTGCTCCCTTGGAACCACTTTATTAACAGCCCAAAGTGTTCTTTTCACAGTTTCAACAAGTGGTTCCCAGCTTCCACCCATGGCTGGTGGAATAAATGACCGTTCAGTTTCCTCTACACTCACAGCACGAGAGATTCTGTGTTTATCTAACTCAAGAAGAGCTTTCTTGAGTTCCTCAGAAGCAATCTTGTTGATTATTTATTTGGTTTTTTGGGTTGAAGACTCCAAAGTGGGACAAATACCGAATCTACTTTGAGTTTGTCCATATCAACTTTTTTAATGTAGGTATCCCATTTATTCATTGCAAATCATCTTGTCTTGTTGGAGCTTGGCAAACACTTGGTTTTTCTTGAATCTTTTCTGTCTAGAAGATTGACACGTCTTAAAGCTTGTTGTTGTTTTGTAAAGCGAAACCGCTTGCGAGTTCCGAGCACTCCTAAAAGCACTCGAGCGGTTTATTGCGCGTGCTCGGGAAAAGTGCTCGTGAGCGGAAAAAAGCGTTCGCGAGTGAAAAAAGAGCTTGCGAGCGGAGAAAAAAGCCCATGCGCGAAAAAAGCGCTTGGGAGCGGAAAAAACCGCTCGGGAGCGGAAAAAGAGCTTGCGAGCAGAAAAAAGCGCTCGAGCGCCGAGCATTTTAAATAAACGCTCGGATGTCGAGCACCAAGCGGCCGCTCCGAAAAGTGCTCGCGACCGAAACGCTCGCAAGCGCTTTTTCCGCTTAGAGCGCTATCGAGCAGTTCCAGCTCTGTTGTTAGGTCCTCGCAGCTTGCTCAAAAATGACCTTAGTTTAACTTTTTGTAGCTGCTGAGAGTGAGATGTGAATTCACGACCAACTGGAACCAAAAAACCAAATGTTTCAACGCGGATGATGAAGGAAGTGTTTCCCAATGAAGGAGCAAATGAATTTTTTGTTGTCTCTCAATAATCTCGTACATATTTTTCTATTGGTGATTGATAAGAAATAGGGGATGACTCAGGAAATAGCCAGCACCACACTCAACTCAATGATCTCACTGGTAGTCCAATTTCTCTTTCAACCTTTTGATCCAATCCATCAAGCAGTATTCCATACTTTTCCTCGGTCTCGTGGCACTCAAGTACGAGTTGCATCTCAATGATTCATCTTGCCTTAAGCCTTGCTTGCTATAAGCTCAGCTTTGGCCTTTTTTTTGATTTTCTCAAGCCCAGCTATTCTTTGTTAACAAAAAATGCTACTCAATACAGTATGTAATTTTTTTAAATGAAGTTAATGATGGTTTCTCAAAGGCGAAACGTCGCAGTGAAAGTCTATGGGGCCCATCTTGTAGAGCTTAACAAGTGTCGGTGAGGAAGTGATATTTGTTTTTTGATACCTTTTCAAACAGGGCCAGAAAAGAATATCTTCGGAACTGATCGGAATTTTCGAATTTTTAAAATCATTTTACTAAGCCATAAAATACGCAACTTTTTTTCTAATTTGACTGCTCGTGCCTAGCTATATAAATGTTGAAGTACAATTTTAAGAGAAAGGGGTTTTAAATTCTAGAATCAAGATGAAGATGCCTTGTAAATTACAATTGCTAAAGGTATAAATACATAGCGGTTTGATCGCGAAAAAAGACGACTGTGCAGATATGACTATTCAAAAAGATGTTGAAGAACTTATAAGGCACTTATAGTATAAAAAACCAAGTAAACTAGTTAGTTTGAGAGTTCCAAGGGCCGAATAATTAATTAGGTTTATAATCTATAAATCTTGGAACTATTACAGATCACAACAATTTTGTATCGCCATGGAAATACTTAGTAAAATATTTACGCCCTTATCCACCTAAACAGTTGGAGTTGGAAAAATGTCTGGTTGCAAAAGGAAAATTGCTAACTCTACATGTTCTTCTATTACAAAAAACTGCAACATGCACGGACTCAACTTTGTTATTAAACACAATTTTGCGATGGCTGGAGGAGCTGAAGTTGGAGTAGGTGATTTATTGTAACTAAAAGCATTTGATTTCAATTTTTAGCGCTGCAATGGAAGACAAGGTGCCGTTGATTTGGTCCCAGTTCCTAAAATTGACCATCATCCATTGCAACATCGATATGAGAAGCGGAAGCACAATCGTGTACAAATTTTCCCAATTGCTACTGCAACAGTCTGCGGAAAAGGGAATATCGGGTTGGGGAAAGGGAATTCTAGGAGCGATTGGGATTGTAAAGAGTGAAAGTTTATCTCTGCGGTATGGACCAGTTGAGTAGGTCGCACGATCTATGATTATTGTTGCAGATTTCGATTTCTCTGTCGCGCTCTGGCCGGTTACGTGTTGGCGCAGTTGCCCGAAACGAAGGGCCATCCGCAAACCGTACGAATCTGTTCGAACGCTCCTGCGATTGTCGGTCAACCTGGTGGAAATACGGAATGTGTTAAAGTACTGCTCGGATTGGCGATGGGACAGACTCAAGGAGAAATTAAAACTTGTGCCGAATTAGCTCTTAAACTGGTAAACACCTTTGTGTGGTTCGCTACTTTGCTAATTTCGCTTCTGTTTTAGATTCAAGATCCCATCAATTCCCTACATAATTCGCGCACCTTCTTATCATTGATAGTAACTCAGTTGTATACAAAGCCTTACTTAAAAGATATCGACAACTGTTAATGGCAATGATAAGTGTTACCAGCAACAGAACTGAAGCAAAGAATAAAAATATTCTTGTTGGACTGTTTTTGTTTCAATTTTGATTGGTTTAATATGTGCTAATTTGTTTTAATGGTGATATATATTTTATACTATCTTTTTGCAATATTGTAGAATAAATTTTTTTTCTATTTAGTGTGAGAATCAGTGAATCTACTTCTTTTCAACTGTTATGTCTGGCTGCTGATCGTAAAATTCTTTTTGAAGAAAATCAATTGGAATCAACTACCATAACACTGCAATGTATATGGTCCCCCTCAGTAACATAGCAAAGTAAAGCCAAAAATTCTTTCTTTATTGTTTGCATTGTACAATGACAACGCTTTCATTTTTTCAGATAATGATCATACAATTTTTTATTTCTACTAGTATACATTTGATAATTGTTCAACAGCCATCAGCAAAACTTCTTCACTTTCGTGGATTATCATCATTCCGTGATTTTACAGGGCAACTTCATACCAGAAATGAAGGAACATTGTCTCCTCAACCCAGATTGCCTCAGTTCTCGATGCCACCGTATCGTGCTGCCGACGGCACCGCTATCGGGGATTGTTTCACGCGGTTTACTTGCGCACTTGGCTTGAGAAAGGTACCAGACAGTGAACGTGCACTATATGCACGCGTCTATATGGGCATCGAATTAAATGACTCCTTGAAAATCCTAGTAAGTCCTAACAATCCGGAAACTCTCCCATACCGCAGAACAGGAAAGGGGAATAAACAAAAATTGTCAGAAATACTGTGTTGTTTTGGAACACCCTATAGATAATTGTCAAAATCAGCTGTTTCCTTTCAAAATGTTGAAGTTCAAAGAAGTTTGGTTATGTAGTCAATTTTGTATTATTCCAAGTATTTCTTAAAGTCCCACAAATATGAGTTCAATAACCAACTCCGAAGCCTCAACTTCCACATTTGATAACGGCCTGACACTCGAATTTGGTCCGTTGGAAACTGTTCATCGGTGGAATCGCATGCCCGAATGTGACGAGTTTGTGGGCGCTCGGTAAGTACCCACCTACATTGATTTAACACTCACTGTCCCTCAGTCGTAGCAAGCATACTGTCGTCGCGTACAAAGAGGCCATATACGTTTTCGGCGGAGATAACGGCAAGTGCATGCTGAATGATCTTTTGCGATTCGACGTGAAGGAAACCTCATGGGGTCGTGCGTTTGCGACCGGTAGCCCTCCTGCACCTCGCTATCATCACTCGGCAGTTGTGTATAATACATCTATGTTCGTGTTTGGTGGATATACAGGCGATATTCATTCAAATTCGAATTTGTCGAATAAGAACGATCTCTTTGAGTATAAATTTTATACAGGACAATGGGTGGAATGGAAATTTGTCTGTAGAACGCCCGTGCCGAGATCCGCACATGGTGCTGCGGTGTATGACAGCAAACTTTGGATTTTCGCCGGTTATGATGGGAACGCGAGATTGAATGATATGTGGACAATCTCGTTAAATGTACGTATTATTCACCATAACGAAGCAATCATGATGTATAATTGATTTAGACAATTAATATGAAGCTGGTGCCACCGTTATTACAATTACATTATTGTACTGTACCTATTTGCTAACACTACAAAGGCGGCCAGATCTTGTAGCATTTTTTGGGTCCCAGAAAATTGCACTAGACAAAAATCAGTACATGTACCACAGATTGCTTGTCTACTGTTAAACATTGTTCATAACTTACTTGCTACTTTTCTCTATCTCACTATCTCTATGGTAAGATTTTTTAAAGTAACTTTCTTTAGATTGTTTTCCAAGGAATTGCAAATATATTATTAATATTATTATTAATGTGAGGGTAGGCTCTGATAATCCTCATAGTCAGCTAATCCTCTCAAAAATTTTTTAGGACTACACTGACTGGTTTCTATAGTTCGATTCATAGTGCTGTGTGTAGGACAATGTTATTCTTATGGGCGTAAATGACATACAGCGTTGTCACAATTCCTTTTACCTGCTTCTATACCAATTGCTTCTCTCCTTGATGTATTGTACCTATTATCTGTACTAAATGACATGTGCCATTGTTATGCTATAATAGACCAGATCAGAGATTTCTCCAACCCGGGTCTTTTGTGGGAAAACACATTTGACAACGCTACATACCATACGTAGAAATTGTAGTATAGAGTAGTTTTAAATCATTGAAGAATTTCGAGTCTGTCTGCAGAATTGGATTGAAGCATCCTCGGCTATACTCATCTTGTGTAGATCATAACCAAAGTTCATCTTGTCTAGGGCTCTAACCTCCTGCAGCAAGAACTATTAGAATAATGCAGAAAGCATGCCGTTTGGCATGGTCGATTTTTATGTCCAATAGATCGATTTGGCCCGCAGCACCCCCTTCCCCCCACCATGTGGAACCAATATGGCGGCTATTTAAAAAAAATCTGTTTCTGACTAAAAAAATATATATTTGTATTTTAAGGATGGCATGCGAGTAATGTTTTAAGGTTAATTTGAGGTCGCTGATTTCAAATCTGTGGTCAAAAAACAAAATGTAATAAATTTAAGCTTTAATTACTTTTATCCTTCATGGTACTCTAATGAAGGGTCTGAACGAAAGGAATTAATTTCTACCAATCATAGCCATAGCCCCTCTTATCGTGATCGGGTATATTTCCTCAAGAACGGATTGCCGGAAGAGGATACTCACAAAGGGCGACTGAGACGTCTGCAAGAAATATATCCATTGGTGATGTCAAAACAAAAGCTATTTCGGTTAAAAAAACGCGCTTTTTGTGCACAATTTATACTTGTTTAATGTTGATAACACTGTTTGGTTTTGATGAAACATACGCTCGGGTCCTGCGGCTCTGCCACATCAACTCGCTCTGATTTGTAATGGTCCATAGCTTGGCTTTGCCTCGCCCTTTTCACTGTTCAACAAAGACAATTTTTCAGTTTCAGTTTTGGTACGGTAAGAAAATGATATTGAGCAGACTGAATTAACATTTTTTTTAATTTGTGAGGAATATTTTTGTTTTTTGCAAACATCACTTATACAAAGTGATTTTTTTTTAAATTTCGATTCAACTTGTCGAATCCAGGTCTGCACATAACATTTTTTAATTTTGGGAACACTTTTCGGTTTTGATGAGACCTAGGCTGGGCTCTGGCGTAACGGTCCATAGCTTTTTTTTGAAAATTTGGATTTAACTTGTTGAATTCAGATCTGCACATAATTGTACATACATTTTTTTGCTTTTGAGGAGACATCCGCTCGGCTCCGACCTCGCCTCACTCTGATTTGTAAAGGTGCATAGCTCGGCTTCGCCTCACACTGTTCACTGTTCAACAAAGACAATTTCTCAGTTTCAGTTTTGGTGGGATAAGAAAATGATATTGAGCAGACTAAATTGACAATTTTTTTTTTGAATTTGTGAGGGATATTTTTGTTTTTTGGAAACATCACCTATACAAAGTGACATTTTTTTGAAAATCTCCACTCAATTTGTTGAATGCAGGTCTGCACATAATTGCACATAAGATTTTTTAATTTTGGTAACACTTTTTGGATTTGATGAGACATACACTCAGCAATTGAAGGGAACAATCCGGATTCGTGTCGATGCTGTGCTCCCTAACGCCAAAGCTTTTGTTCCATCGGAGCCTAACCACGCAGGGGTTTGTTGTCTTTTAGTGGGAGGGAGAGTACAAAGGTTCGTTTGCAAAACTAAGATGTATAGCGCTTCGGCTCTAGAAAGCTGGGTCAGTATATATAATAATAATAATAATAATAATATCATGTATTAAAATAATACAATTATAATACATATAAGTATCTCAAAAGGGGACAGATAAGCATGCTGCTTTTCACCGCCCCCATAGTTACACGTCGAATTAGATTTAGGGCGTACTCTTAAACGCCACATTAAACAATTGATAGCCACTCTGATTCCAAAGAAGCAGATCGTTTTTAACCCTCATCGTCCGCTCGACAAACGAGAAGTTACTTTTGCAACCAATTCCGCCCAAGCGCCGGTGCCATCTAACAGTACAGTTTCGCAGAAAATTTCTCTATATCCAGATGGTCAAGTTTAACAAGAACTTCCGTCGAAACTCGAATTAGCCAGGTGAGATTGTTCCTCTTGAGTCCAGCAGACTTACCATACAGATTTAAAAAAATGGGGGAGAATGTAATGACCATTTTAGTAATTCCGGAAATATAAAGTGTGGGGTGGTCACCATTTTTTATTATTCGTACGTGTGCCATTAATCTGGTCTCAATAAGAATTGTTAAATAAAATAGAGGATTAAAAAACAATATCTTAATTACTCTTAGCCGGAACAGAAATAATTCTGGAATGTTCCTAAACTGGCAGAAGTTTGAGCTAAGGATGCTTTATTAATACATTCTACCATCTAGGATTCAAACCAAAAATCTGTTGAAAGATTAATGTTAGAACATTAATAAAACGTCTTGAGCTTCAAAAATAGAAAAATAAAGAAGTTCATAAATGTCATTCAATATTCATCATATATTTTTTTTTAACATCTACACACTTTATAATTTATAAAATATTTTATGATCGTACTTCAACACCTCCCCTCGATTAAAAATATTTATAAATTCATATAAAGAATACTACATCAAAACTTACTTCTAAGTTCAAAATAGGGAATACACAGTTTTTTAAATAGAAAATAATGTCTTTCTTAAAAAATATGCAAGGTTCACTGATACATTTGGCAAAATCTAAACTTAACATAATGGATGTTACGTGATTATACCAGTTTCTACCTGATTGCTTAAGGCCGTACAGACTTTTTAAGTTTACAAACGAATTTACCTTTATCGAGTTCTAATCCATCAGGTACTTCCATCAATACTTCCTCATCCAAACTGCTATTGAGGTACGCTCCGACTACATCTACATGATCCAACCTCCATCCATGATGTACAGCTAGATAGGTCAGAAGTCTGATTGATTTCTTCTCCACTACAGGACTCATAGTTTCAAAATAGTTTACTCCGTGAGTTTGACGAAAACCTTGTGCAACAAGTCGGGCTTTATACTTCTTAATGTTTCCATCTCCGTTTTTGATTGAGAACACCCACTTGCATCCTGTTACCCTTGCACATGGTTGTCGTTTTATAATTTTCCAGGTTTCTTGCAAATTTAAATTCCGAAATTCTTTATTAATGGCATCCTCCCATGCAAGTGCGTTTGAGCTATTCACAGCTTCCTCATAACTGGACGGAATCTTCTCTTCATGATTGTAGAGTTGAGCAGACATACAACATGGCAATTTACATAATTTTCTTGTTACTGGTGCTCTACTAGATTTTCTTAATTGTACAGGTCCTTCGTCAGTATTATCGATTTCAGTTTGCTCTTCTCCTTGGCTATGAATCATTTCTTCTATTACAGCTTCTTGATTTTGAATTTCCAGCTCTCCATCTAACACGTCTTGATTTTGAGCAACCATTTCTCCTTCGGGTACAATTTCAATAGAATAATTTTTATCTGTAGAGATTTCAGAAAACAATCCTTCGTTTTCGTTTAACTCGCTTAGGAAATTGCAGTCAAAATTGTTAATCTTAAATGTCTGAGTTTGGTTTCGACATTCACTTGGTACTTTCAATACAGGTTGTTTAAATGGAAAAATCTCTTCCTGAAAAATTACATCTCTCCTGATGATTACCTTTCTTCGCTTCAAACTCCATAATCTATAACCGTCCTTCGTATTTTCGGCGAATCCAATAAGCACACGTTTCAGCTTTTGATTCAAATTTCGTTGATTTAGATTTCATTGCCCATGCTTGGCAACCAAAAATCTTAATTAAATTTGCTGTCTCTAACTTTAATTTCTTATTGTGCCAGATTTCGTAAGGTATTTTAAAGTCAATTGCAGATGAGGGGCACCGATTTCTGATAAAAACTGATGTCTTAATTGCTTCTGCCCAAAAATTCATGGGTACACCAGATTCTAACATCATGCATCTTGCCATTTCTATCAGAACGCGGTTCTGCCGTTCTGCTAGACCATTTTGCTGCGGACAACCTGGTGCACTTCTCCTATCTTTTATTCCATTTTCATGCAAATACTTCTCGAAAACATTTGATATGTACTCACCACCATTGTCACTTTGCAGGGTCAGTAACTTTTTTTGTTGATTTTCCGCTTCCTTATGAAATCTAACAAATTCAAGAAATGTCTCATCCTTCGTCTTCAAACATTTGGCAACGATATAATGAGAGTAACTAATCGTCAATAAGAGTCATAATAAATAATAATCCGCCAATAGATTGTGGTGAAATTTTACCCATTAGGTCGCTGTGGATGATCTGCAATACTGCTGTTGTTTTCTCACTTCTATTGTTAGGGAAACTAAAACGACTGAATTTTTCTTGAATGCAAACTTCACATTTCTCGTCATCTTTATTTGGTTCTTCTTTTAAATTTTTGAGGAAAGGAATTCTCAACAAATCCCTTTTATTCACATGTCCAAATCTTCGATGCCATAGCTGCATGTTATAGACTGCTCTACATGCTAATCCATTCTTCTTTTCAATGTTAAAATTTTTACTTCTTATATCCGCAGTATTTACAACGTATACCCGATCATCCTTCTTTACTCTAAAGATCAGCTCATCATTGTCCAAAACTACTCCTCTTTCACCAGTGAACATGACGTCCAAACCTTTATCTGTCAACTTTGAAACAGACATCAAAGCACATTCAAGGTCTGGAACGAAAAGTGTCTCAGACAACGTGATCCTGAATCCTCCGTCTTCTTCAGGTGTACGAATCATGACGATGCCTTTGCCTTCTATCTGAGCTTCGTCCCCATTTCCCATCTTGATGATGCCACAGTAATCTTCATCCAGTTCGACAAATTCTTCTTTCAATGGTGTCATGTGATCTGATGAACAAGAGTCTAAATACCAACATTTCCGCTTCATATTGCCTTTAACTCCTACTGAACAATACGCTTTGGCTTTGTGGACTGAATCGACAATTTCACTTATAGCACTACTTGCCATACCTTCCTTCTTGTGTCGTTGTTGTCTCAAAAACTCCTTCAACTCTGGACAGTCACAAGATTTGTGTCCTAAATTTCCACAGGTGTAGCACTTGTAGACTCGATCTTCATTTCTACTTTCTCCTTTAACTCGTTGAGTATTATTTCCATGATAGACTCGATTGTCATTTCTATTTTCTCCTTTAGCTCGTTGAGTATTGTTTCCATAGTTTTTCGATTTCATACTTTGGTTTGCTTTTGAGTTCTGCACTGCTTTCATAGCTTTGACTTCGTCTGTTTTTGTCGACAGTCCGTCTAATCTGATTTGATGTTTCTCTTCCACCAACAATTTACTTATGATGTCATCACGACTTAAACTTTCTTGATGTTCCAGTGTTCTAATGAAGATTTCATATTTGTCCCTTGGAAGACCTCTCAGAATAAACAATGAGAGAGCATGTTCATCAAAAGTTATACCGCAACGTAATATTTTTCGGTTGAGATCAAGAATTTTTGAAATGTACTCGGTCATTGAAGTATCTCCTTTCTTTATGGTAGTTAAATCTTCCAGAAATTCAAGTTGATGCATCACACTAAAATCTTGGTGTAAACTAGACAGGGTTATCCACGCTTTTTCTGCCGTTTTATGTCCTCCTATATAGTCAATATATTTATCACTTACCGAAAGTAAAATAAGTGACAACGCTCTGGAGTTCTTCTTCTTCTCCCCTGTGCTGAAGCCTTCTATCAAGTCTTCACCGCCAAAATCAGGATCAACTGCATCCCAGCGCTCTCGCTGCTCCATGATCGCCCTGGCCTTAATATGCCATGCGAAATAATTGTCTGTGAGTTTGAGTCCTCGGTCGAGACCATCATTGTAATTGTTCATCGTCATTATTACTCCTTCTAAATGTGATGAGACAGCTACACTCCTCCTTGATGTCTGGATACGTAAACTCTGCTAACTACCGATCGAAAAAATGTACCTGCGCGACGTCTTTAATCCAGTTACAGTAACACACACGTGATTCTACGTAACACTGTTTTCCGGATTTAATTTTCGAAACACTAACGCGTAAGTCTCATTATCTGTTGAAAGATTAATGTTAGAACATTAATAAAACGTCTTGAGTTTCAAAAATAGAAAAATAAAGAAGTTCATAAATGTCATTCAATATTCATCATATATTTTTTTTTAACATCTACACACTTTATAATTTATAAAATATTTTATGATCGTACTTCAACAAAATCTTCCTTGTTCCTATCACAGATTTAAAGTGTTTAAATTTGCGTTCCTATCCTAGCATCTACTCTTATGTTGTAGCTAGTACTGTATTTGCCCCAGGTGTCCTCGTGTGATGGATAGATCTTGCTGTGTTATTTTACGTTAACGTCTTTGCTTACAGAATTTGTTTGTCAATTAGGATGACAGTCGCTGTTGGGAAGAAGTCGAGCAGACAGGCGAATGCCCACCTACCTGTTGCAACTTCCCAGTAACGGTGGCGCGCGAATGCATGTTTGTGTTTAGTGGACAGAGCGGGGCAAAAATTACAAACTCCCTCTTCCAATTCAATTTCAAAACGAAAACGTAAGAAACGCCTTAATTGCTTATTGGAGAGATAAAACATGAGAATTGTAGCTGGACGCGTATATCCACCGAGCACATCTTGAGAGGTGCACCGGCGCCTCCGGCAAGACGCTACGGTCACACGATGGTCGCTTTCGATCGACATCTGTACGTTTTTGGCGGTGCGGCCGACAGCACCCTATCGAATGACCTGCACTGTTTCGATCTCGATTCCCAGGTATGGTCCGTCGTGCTGCCGGCCTGCGACTCCGTTGTTCCATCCGGAAGACTGTTCCACGCCGCCGCCGTTGTTGGAGACGCTATGTTCATATTCGGCGGTACGGTCGACAATAACGTACGAAGCGGCGAAATGTACCGCTTTCAATTTTCGAACTATCCCAAATGTACGCTGCACGACGATTATGGTAAAATTCTCGAATCCAAAGAGGTCTGCGATGTGCAGTTTACAGTGGGAGCCGAAGAGAAGAAGATTTTGGCGCACACCGCTTTGGTCGCTGCCAGATCACTTTATTTGCGTAATAAAGTCAGGCAGGCGAAAGAAAGTCGAGATCGCCACTTAGAGAAGCTCTTTGGTACAAACAAGGTGGCGTTCACCGACGTCCCCCTACTTGAGGTGAAATTAAAAGAGGCCAATCCTGAAGCTTTTGAAATGGTTTTAAATTATATCTACATGGATTGTATCGATCCCACAAAAAAGGCCAAACAACGCGACGATCCTCTAGGCAATTGCATTGTATTGCTAATGATGGACGTTTATAGATTAGCCGTACAATTTGAAATGGGCAGGCTGGAACATTTATGTGTTCAATATTTAGAAGCAACGATATGTTTGAAAAACGTCCTGGAAGCTTTACATAATGCCCACAAGTTAGAATTGGACTTTATTAAAGAGTTTTGTTTACGTTTTATCGTGAAAGATGCTAATTACAACTCGATTGTTATGAGTAAGGAATTTGAAAATTTGGATAGAGGACTAATGGTGGAGATAATCAGATTAAAGCAGTCGCCACAGTCGAAAGTGGTGTATGAAAATTCCCTCGATACGAGCGGCTCTTCTTTAGAAGAGGATATGGCAATGTTTCTTCGAACGACTGGCAAAGAATTCTGTGACATTGACCTTGTGCTGGATGGAACTGTGATTTCGGCACATAAAACCATTCTGGCGGCGAGATGCGCGTACTTCGAGGGAATGTTCAGGTCTTTCATGCCTCCTGACAATCGAGTTAGGGTAAGTAGCTCACATTTACCGAATCATTCCCTCTAATTATAGTTTAAGATACAAATCGGTGAAATGACACCGTCGCAGGAAGCCTTCGACTCGCTGTTACGTTACATTTATTACGGAGACATCAGTATGCCGCCGGAAGATTCTCTGTATCTGTTTTCCGCCCCATTCTTTTACGGCTTTACGAATAATCGCTTGCAGGCGTTTTGCAAGCAAAACTTGGAAATGAACGTAACATTCGAGAACGTTATTCAAATCTTAGAAGCGGCGGACAGAATGCAGGCGATGGACATGAAAAAGTACGCTTTGGACCTAATCGTTCATCACTTTACGAAAGTCGCCAAGTTGCCCAGGCTGAAGGTGCTGAGTAAAGAACTCATTTTGGATATTTTAACTGCATTAGCCAACGACATGAGTGACCCTAAGATGTGCCAAGATGTTTCCTCAATTAGTTTAAGCAGTGACAGTTAACATTTTGTAATGTAAAAGATTAGGATAAGTACCCTACTTAAGGTAGGTACAAACCATTGAAAAAGCACACAGTAGAACTCTGACGTAGGTAATACCTCTGACTCTTTGGAATGATTAACTGGCGTTAGTTTGTACGAAACTATTACATCGCAGCGTTCTATAGAGGTTGGTTTTTACGGAACACGCGTCACATTCCTATTTGTGTGTTCTTTTCTGGTACGACTGAATAGATTCAAAGGAAAACACAGGAAGACTGTTAGATTGAAGTGATAATAAAGTACTATAACTACGCAACGAAATCTGTGGCGTTCTTTATAACTCATCCTTTTTACTAGCACCAATTACACTTCATTTATAGGTAGCTTGAGCAAAGACACGTTTTTTTGGTAAAATCTATATCTATAAACCTATAGATTTTGACCTGTAGAATCCAAAGCTTTCCAAATTTTCAAGATTGGACAACTAGATGGTGTTGGTGTTGTAGATCAATAAAGTTACAGCGCTTTCTGGCTTTTTTTGTAAAACTGATTTTTACCTATAACTTTTCTTTTGACGTAGTGGTTCGATTTTGACGTAGTGGTTCGATCTTTACGTATTTCAGTGGTTTTGTAAAGAAGCTTTTGTTAATGCTCCTGGTGATGCAGGTGCAGGTACTGTTGCTTGGTGGTAGTAGTGGTGCAGGTCCACCCAGCATTGAACCCGTACAAGGCGGAAAAGAACATGGAGCCTTACGAAGCAGTAACAGACAAAGAGGTAATGGAACCCGCAAAAAAGCACCGGGACCCGACGAAATACCGGCAAGCGTAGTTAAGGGATTTGGGCAAGGTTAATTAATTGCTCACTGGAACAGGTGCAATACCCCATAATATGGAAAGAGAGTAAGTTGGTTCTGATACCAAGCGATGCTCTTAAATTTATAGGTGGAGCAAATCAAAAACGCCAACTATGTGACATGGCGCTCCAGAAAATTCTGCTTGTGATAACCTCTCTGGATGTAAAAAACGTGTGTAACGTTGCATCGAGAGATTGGAAAACTCAAAACCAGCGAATATCTAATCAGAATTGCTACCTGACAATAGAAAAGGATTACCGTAACAAATCCCGACGGAAAGGAAGTTAACTTCATGATGAGAGGGAGTCTCCCAAGGATTAGTATTGGGACTTGAGTTGTGGAAATACTCTACGATAGCGTCCTGCGAGTAGTGAACGTCATAGCTTTCGCAGATGATCTCACAGACAGAACCATTGAAAAAAATGGAAACTGCGGTATAGATGATAAACGGGTGGATGAGGACGCGTAGATTACAAATGGTCCCCGAATCGGGAAGCGAGACGACGATAACTGTATGGCATTACGGACGACAAAGAACACCCATTCTTCGCGTGTGGAAGGTGGGAGCGAGATAGGATCAAATTAAATACAGATTTGAGACAATATACCGTCAGTACAATGTATGCAAATAGGGAGTGGTGGAACAAGATTGTAGAAATGCTGAAGAAAATATATAAGACTAGGGAAACTGAAGGAAGTGCCACCACGGTTCGGAAATATACTTCGGGGTGATGGTTGTACTTTGTCGGCAATAACTTTTCATGGTATTACGATAGAATTATCAAATGTTAATAAGTAAATACTTTTTAAAAAAATGAAATATCCCTACAAGCTACAACAAATAGTGGCTGACTGACTCGGATTGTTTTTCATAGCACTCTAAATAAAATATTAATATTTCATTGCAAACCGTATAGTCCGAGAGCTGGTAGACATTTTTGGGTAGGTATTTGAGGCACGCTGAAAACTTGTCCACCACTTTCCAATAATACCCAAACACAGAAATGCAGACCTGGCTGAGGAGTGGCGAGGCTAACACTTTGCCAGGGGCCTTCAAAGTTTGAAAAAAATAATGTCATTGATTTGTGAATCAATTTTACACATATGCAGACATACGCTAAAACGCTGCACAACTATCAAGTATGCGAAATCGATAAAAAATCTTGTCTGAAATTGATTGTCAAATCAATGACGCAGTGCCAAGGGACTCTTGATTTGAAGTGTATACTGGCCGCAATAGATACATAAACACCTAGTGTACTTTGATCACTTTTGACGAAAGTTTCAGGAGAATTGTCTTTATTTCGGCATAAGAAACGATGCAAATTTCCACATGATACAATTGCAACTAATTCAGACGTCACTAATAATGTGTAAATCATCCACTACTTCTTATACGCATTCCGATACTCGACTGGGCATACATTCTTTTTTCAAACGCCTGGCAAAGTGTTAGCCCCGCTTCTCCTCACCCAGGTCTGCATTTCTGTGTTTGGGTATTATTGGAGAAGTGGTGGACAAGTTTTCAGCGTGCCTCAAATACTTACCCAAAAATGTCCACCAGCTCTCCTACTAGTAGTAAATGATAGTGTTACAATGAAAAAATCAAATTGTGATAAACTTTTGGCCGGTACTGTAGGTGTACAATACAAAGGATAGAGGGAATGTACTTTGACTGGAGAGAGACGAAAAACTTTATGAGTGCGGAGTGCGATTGAAGTCGTTGAGAAGCTCGCACGCTCTTCGCAGGTTTTTAACGCGCACAATTTACAACATTGCGAAGTATTTTAAAAGGCGCCTAAAGCTATTGTCGTTTAGTGCAATATAGTACTCAGTAAAAGTGTAAGCAAAAGCGAGTACGGTCTATTATTTTTATTTTGCCTTTATTGTCTAGTTAACAGTATTGCTCAGCGCGGAAGAAGTTGCGTCACCATTTCACGTGTAAAATATCGAAGTGAAAAGTTTCCTAAAAGTGAGATCGCAGTAATGTGCAATTTTTAAAAGGGTTTACGAACTAAAAAAAGACAAACTGCTAAAGCGCGCGAATTGTTTAATCTCTAGCGTTGTTTTTAAAATTCCACCAAGGAGCAGGGACAATTTAAATACAAATCAAGTTACTGATGGAGTCCATTTATCCAAGGAGGGTGGTAAATTTCCCAACAACCAGGAGGTGACCATCTACGACGTCAATAATTGGCGAGTCTCAGAAAAATTTTAAGGTTCGACATCGACTAAACCAAGTTCAACAAACTCCCACTGAATCAAGAGACTTCATCCATGAGGTAAAAGACAATATTACTTTATACCTACGAATTAAATCCAACGGCGTACGCTTTTTAAAACTCGCGCTCATTTTGCGTGAGAATTAATGACAATTTAACCAGGAGACTGAAGTGTTAAAGTATTTTCCAAAATTATAATTGTTTAAGTTGAGGTTTTCTTGAGGTTCAACAAACCTGTAATTATTTGCTTTATTTGTGTGTGTAGTTAAAATAAATGTATTCAAATTAATGTAATCTTTTGCAATCGTAATTATTACGACCACTAATTGTTATACTCACAGTAACAAAAAGATTCTAAAATTCAAACGTACACCCAATTATGAAAATTGCGTAATTCTTCCAGGCATATTAGAGTAGTATCAATTTCGTAGTAATATCATTGAATTTATAATAAATTCAATGGTAATATCTTGCCAAAATTTTGATTATTGTTGAAATTAACCAAGTACCTGCGGAGATCAATATTGACTTAATTATTCCTTATTACTTACCCATTTATTTATCTGAGCTAGCTGGAAGTATAAAAGTAAAGTTAAGGTACCTAAGTTCCAAAATACTTTACCCCGACATCGACATCGAGAAACGAAGGACAAGAAGAATATACACGAACACGGCGAATCATCGATTATTTGTAACCGTCAGTTACATGCTCGACCGTGCTACCACGCCAACGACGAGGAAAGGGTTTTAGTGGGTAAACCTTGCCTGGATGGAAGGGAATTCCACACACCCCCCGCTATATAGAGCCCAGCGAGGGAGCCTATAAAAGGTTTCCCAAACCGCAAAAATAAAAAAATGGTGGCGCAGTGGTTGCGTTGCCGACGGCTATTCGGGAGGTTGTGAGTCCCGCTGCCGACTGCTCTGTCTGGGGTTTTGTCAGAGAGTTTTCCTCAGACGTACGGAGCTTCGCATAATGCTAGCATGATGTTGAAATCTACGAGGCGAATGCTGGAGCAGTAGTCTTCCCTCTCAGCACCCTAACTCCTTGCCTTCCGTTCCCATCCTTAACTTTACCCTTCCTTACATTCCCGGTCTCTGGCTGAAGAGGGTCAGGAAACACTGCCCGCCTCCGCTATCCCTCGGGGTGTCGGAGGAATGAACACGTTGGCCTTTTCCTTAAAAAAAAAAAAGTACTGGTGCTTGGTGCGTGTGCTGGTGTTGATGGTGCGTGTTGGTGTTCCAACATAGCAGAGGTATATACATTGCATATAAGATGCACATTCTATGTGGGTTTTTGTATATCCATGGAACATGAAAAATATGTCGACAACATCCAATTGTACGCTCTGGCCGCCAACACTTCATTTATTCCTTGAGCTAAGACGCTAAGAGAATTCTGTCGTCAAAGTGACATGCCCAAATTCGACAGAAAGAAAAATTTTCCTTGACAATTCAACTCATGTATAAAAAATCGCATAAGCCGCAGTGCAATTGTCACTTTGACAGCGGTAAAAGTTACCTGCAACTTTTCCAGCGACAAATGCACTAGTGGTTTTTTCACTTATTCATTTTCGAACCAATTATCGCATTATCCTTTCCCATATGACTAGTTTGACGTCTGTCAATAATTGATTAGTTGGTGAATTTCTTGTTCGTTAAATTGTCCTGCCGAATTACACTCGAGGTTTGTATTTAAACCGAGTAAATTTGGGTTGTTGCAATTCAAATATGTTTCCATTTAGCAATTGAACTCGAAAAACTGTCAACCTAAAAATGCTCCACCTTCGGTGTCGCATTTTTATTAGTTGACAGTTTTTCTCGTTAATTGCTAGGCAACAGATTTTCATTACCTAAACAACCCAAATTTACTCGGTAAAATACAAACCTCTTGTGCAATTATAAGTGATAATCGGTAGAGATTTTTGCCCAACAAAAGGTGGCGTAGTTTTTAATATGTTGTTATAACGTCTGGCCCTGGAAACAAAAACCATGTTTTCGACCTGGGGGGAGAACCGCTCGCTTCGCCATCTTGGATGAAAAGTGAAAAAAACGGTTTTTTCAAAATAATTCCGTAGCGGTTTTGTTAGTGCATTTTTACAAAGTTATTTGTTGTACCTATCGAGGCCGAGTAGTTAGGGGCGACGCTACAAGATGTGAGGTCGGCGACATCTGGGCGCCATTCCCGAGTGTGTTATACTAACCTGGGATTCCGCAGTTTTTCTCCGACTGTTTTCAAATAGGTG